ACACTTTCCCTCTAAAATCAAGTATTTTCTTCACATTAATTGATCAAGAAAATATAGAAACCAGTGAGTAGATATGTCCATAAGACAAAATACATATATGAAAATACTTGAAGCAATGTAAAATTTTTAAATTTAGAATTAGAAAATTTACTAGTCCCATGTTAAAGGTTTTAAAGCCATTTAGAAGCAGTTAACTGTTGAATAAATGTACATTTTTTTTTATTGTAGTTAAAAAGGGTTTGGTTTGTAGGAATGTTTTTGGCATTATTCTGGGTAACTGAAATTAGAAAGAGGTCTATTTTATGGTGGGTTAAGGAAGATATGAGGAAAAAAATTCTTTTAATAGCTAGATGTGGTCACTTCAAATTGACAAAGGTGCATTATAAAGATTTATGATGACAAAATGTTGTATTTTACCTGAAGTTTTATGTTCCTAAATATTGATAGTAAACTAAGTTTATTTGTGGATAGTTTTACAAAAGCTTGGACTAATTAAAGCCAAATGAACAGAACGAATAAAATATTAGAATTCTGAGTAGATTAAGGTTTCTTCCCCTAAATTATTAAGGGGAGGTATTGATAGCAGGGCCATTGTCAACCTATAGCAAACATTACCCAAGAGAGGTCAGTAGAGTTGTTATTCACAGCTACTTCTTATTTAATTTAGCTATTGCTGAGTCTTTCTGATTTGTTTTTTAGGTGCTGAGGGTGTAAATGGAGGAGAGGAGTCGGTAAACCTGAATGATGCAGATGAAGGATTTTCATCAGGGGCTTCCCTCAGCAGTCAGCCAATTGGGACCAAACCATCCTCCTCTTCTCAGAGGGGAAGCTTAAGGAAAGTAGCAACTGGGCGTTCAGTCAAGGATAAAGAAACAGCCTCTGCCATCAAATCCAATGAGAGCCCTCGAGATTCAGTAGTTCGCAGGCAATATGTACAGCAACCAACTGATCTTAGTGTAGATTCAATTGAGCTGACACCAATGAAGAAACACCTGAGTCTGCCTGCTGGCCAGGTGGTGCCAAAAACCAATAGTTTAAGTCTAATCCGGACAGCCAGTGCTTCCTCAAGTAAATCATTTGACTATGTAAATGGCAGTCAAGCAAGTACCAGCATTGGGGTTGGCACTGAGGGAGTTACTAATTTAGCAGCTAACAATGCTAATCGATACTCAACTATCAGTCTACAGGAAGACCGACTAGGTCAAGCTGGAGATGGTAAAGAGCTTCTCAGCCCAGGAGCTCCCTTAACCAAGCAGTCTCGATCCCCAAGTTTCAATATGCAGCTAATATCCCAGGTGTAGTTTTGACATCCTCTCTCATCTTTCTGCTTACTTTTTAACTGAACATTTCATTGTTCAAGAAGAAACTTCATCCCTCATTGTGAAAATATTGGTCATTGTAATCAGATTTGATTTAGTTTAGGTATGTTCATACTGTATTTTGTATGGAAAGAGCAATAAGGTTTTCTTTCCCCCTCCTTCCTATATCTTCTCTTCACCTATTCCTTGTAAATGTGTTTGTGAAGCAGTATAAAATGTTTGCATTTTCCATGCTTTCCTTTCTCCTTGGGTGATGTGCAATCCATCGTAGGCTGATCGGTCCCATTTCAACACTGTGAGACTGAGGATATGTTAGAGGAAATGGTGTATATGATCCCTATGAAATGATTCTTTGGCTTTTGTTTAAAAAAAAAAAAACGGGTTTGTTCTCATAATCTATAGAACTATGAAGATTACTTGGTCATACTTTTTTCTCTCTTAACCAGGAGTGCCTCAGAGATTCTGCTATGACTTTGGACTTCTCTGAGTCTGTGCAATCATTTTCTTGAAAAGCAAGGGGAAAGGTGGTAGACTGTTGCACTTTTTCATTAAAATGAGCATGGCTCTTCCCCACCCCACCCCCCATCTCCTTTATCTTGAGGACACAAATGTTCAATTACTGAGGCATTTAAATCAAGTTGTGGCCACCTCCATTTGAGGGCAGGGCTCTAAGTTGATTGTGTAATTGATAATGCACTTTCTCAAAGACTCTGTAGTCATTAACATGCCTTCCCTCCTCCCTACAAGGACATAAGGTCATTTCTGTCCTTCAAGTTTGAACAACTAACAAATCAGAGAATCCAAGGGGCATGTTCTGTTTCCCAGGAATGACTGACACTTTGGTGCTGGGGTTTTGTAGGGGGAGGGAGTGGTTTTTGTTTAGCTTGTGTGGGATTGTCTGTGTGAGGGGAAATTTTGATTGGTTTTCTTTCTTTTCCTTTGTGAGCTGATGATGACTGAAGTAGAACAAGTACGTCTTCAGGTAAAGAAAGGGATTTCTCATCCTGCTTTCTGTGATGTCAGACTATTGGAGAAACTCTTTCAGCTGCTTTCTAGATGTACCTAAATTCAGTCAGATATTTTGGATTAAGAAACCTGAAGTCCTGATAGATCATATACTCCAAGGAAATATATCAGGGACAGATAATTGGCTGAAAACACTGATGCTTCAATGTGACACATTTTTATAGAACATTTCTACCAGGAGGTACTGACTTGATTTCTCCTACAAGGAACACACTGCCTTTGTGTTTAATGCATTTTGTGTACCTTCTAATCATATATCTACAAAAGTTTCTCATTTTTATAAAACTTTGAAATCATGCCAGTAAGCTGAATGTTGAATGTATGTAAAGTAGCATTTGGCAACTGTGCTACAGAAATGCATTATTGGTTAAAAAAAATTTTTGTTCTGATTTGGTTGGTTAAGATTTCATCATGACCTCTTCTGGTTTCAAGCTCTAATGCTTGGTCAAAATAGAAGAGAATATATTGATTTTTGAAAATCAGTATATTGTGACTTGAACTGCTATGCGTTATTCTTCCACAAAATACATCAGAGCTATTAGTGCTTTGTCTCTTTAGATATTTTTATTTTATTGTGAAAAAAATATACATACTGAATTTATAGAAAGCAAGTATTCTCCTAATTGACAAAGCTTAAAATTTTCTCTCTACCAATTAAAATTATAATATATTTTGATAATTAAAATAACCAGAAAAATGCCTCTTGGTTTTTTTCATACCTTTAAATCTCACCCTTTCTCCCTCCCCCTCTTTCTTTTTTAAATTTGCTTTGTTTGTTTAAGAGGTTTTTTTGTTTGTTTAAGGGATTTTCTTTTATAATCTTTATAAGAACAATGAAATACTCGTTTGAAGTTGGTGGTCTGTAACATTTTTTCAGCTCATGTTAAAATAGAAAACTAGAAGCTGAACTAGTATCTGCAACATTGCCAAAGTCCAGGGTAAAGCTAAAAGTTGATAGAGATTTATTAATGTGTGTGTATGTGTATGCATGTGGTGCAAACATATCACAAAGACATTTTAGGTGTCCCTTACCTCTAATTTACCTATGAGATGCCAGATAAATGAATTAAAAAGTAGCCAAAATAAATGAGGTATAAAGATCTGTAACATACTAAGGAGAGCAGAGTTTCAGGTATCAAAGGAAAAGAGCATGGTACTTACCAAGGAGTAAGGAAGGTCTTAGCCATGGCTGGAGGTCAGTCACTTATGGCAGAAATGCTCAGTTGATTTAAAAGGCTGAAGGATTGTTTTTCAATTCAACAAGTTGTGTATTTCTTGCCATCTAAATCAAGCATGATTTTAGTTAAAGCACAAAAAATACCAGATAATACCAAATTACAACAAGAGCTGTAATAAATATTATAAGATCCCCCTTTGGTTTGTTAGAAATCTTATGTTAAACCTGATAAGTTGGTGTTGAAAACTTTCAACTTAGAGGATTTCATTTATCTGTGTGTATACGTATTTTGTATGTCTATATAACCCATTAATGTTGAATGACCCTGTAATATTTCTGTTTCATACTTTTAAGTGATGTGATTTGGCCCCAATGAAGAAACATTTCATTAAATTCAAACTTTGCATTCAGGATTTTAGAACAGATTTCTTGTGCAAGATATAGTTAAAATGGGATGAGTTAGTTTAACCATAAATCAAATTTTTGGAGATTTTTTTTATATTCATTTGCGTTATTTATTGGCATTTAAAACAGTTTTCAGATACAACAGTTACAAATATATGCCAACAATATTCATACTTTATCTTTTAACCTTTTGTTTTATACTTCCTAATTTCCATCTAAAAAAAAGTCCTTTCATCTATGGAAAAGCTAGTGAGGGAGAAAATACTTGTTTTCTATAATAAAATAATTTGATACCATCTATACCATGTTGGGTTAAGAAATACAAATAAATATCTGAAGGTTTTGGGAATTCCTCTAATTACATTGATTTGAAATCATGTTACTAGAAAGCAAACTAAAATGTAAAGTGAAAAGCTAACTTAGAAGTAAGATTTTTGAATATAAAAATATTTTAGAAGCTGGGAGGGAAATGTTTGTAATTTGAAATCCTGACCCTTGCCCTCCTGATTACTCTTCTGTGCCTATTATAGAGTGAGAATTTTTTGTGCTAGCAGAGACTCTAGAGATAATCTTACTAGTCTCCTATCACCCCTGCCCCATATCCATCCTCAGGAAACTGAGGCTCAAAAGGTTGTGATGTGATCAAGGTCACATAACCAAGAAGCAGAGCCAGAATCAAACCCCCTGTCTCCCATCAAATGCATAATAGCACCACACTGCCCCCCTTTACTCATACTGTGGTATGTGTGTTATGTAACACTCTCCATTTTTACAGTTTCTGTACAGTTCTAGTAGTTGGTGAATACAGCATAATAAGAAAAGTACTAAATCTAGAAAAAATATAGAGTAATAAACATAGATAGGGAAGTATTGGAAATGTAGGTATCTATACCACAGATGTAAGGATAGATACATTTTCCTTATTCTAATTTATGCCTTACTATTTTCTGCCATATAACAGTTTTACGCTGCCATTTATAGTTGATTATATTGCTGGGGATTTATTTAAATGCAAAATAAACCCAATGAAGTGGCTTTGATCAGTATTTCTAGCTATTTTAGAGTAATTTTTGAATCAGCCAGCTTTGAGTCACTTAGGTGGCAAGTTAATTGTATTGCACAATGGAGTATTGCAAAGTAAAGATTAAATAATTTGATTCCATTAATTTCTAATGTCAAAAGAGATTGAACCTTCCTTGTGCTTAGAGCAGATAGATAAAGCAACATTTCTTTATGTGATTGGAAAAGGTTTGTTGTATGAAGCTTGTGATTTCATAATGGAATGGTGACCATCATGTCATTTAATGTGTATATACCATATGAAATGTCCTAAATGTGGTAGACTCAGTTATATAAACTCAGTATTTCCAACCTATACTCTCAAATTCCACTTAGTAGCTTTAAATTAATTATAATTATTTATTAGACACTGGAATACTGAGAATAACTTCTTTCAGATTGTTTTGTTTGCACTATATTTGTGAATATTTTAATAAAGTAGGGTGATTTTCCTACCTCACTTTGTGAGGTTTGTATGGGTCCATTTTTGACTACTTTAGTTGACAGTCAGTTGTCTCATTTAATTTTCTGCATGTTCATTTGTAAATAAAAAAATTAGTATGTGTCTTTAGAGAGTAGTACACTATTTATACAAACACTGGCAATGAGGATCTCTCCATTTATGATCTTGGATTACAAAGTAAGTTTTATTTTTTTAAAATCAGTATTTCAGTTACATATCTTTTTCAGTTTAAAAATGTTTAATAGGTCATGCCAGTGGTTGGAAAGTATATAAGAATTTTAGAGCAATTTTTCTCTATTATGGCTATGTTAAACAGTCTGAACATGATACTTTTTATCTTTCAAGTTGAATGATTATTGTCATGTTTCAAACCACTAAGTTGGTTAAGACACTTATTTGTAATACTTTAATTTTAAAGTGCTTTTTAGAAATAAGTTGTTTGAAAACCAACTAGACATTATTGCTAACTTAAACTCTAAATATTAACGTACATGCCAGATTATAAGATGGAGTGCAGTGTGAAATTGTTAACAGTGCTAATAAATCATAATGAGTTACTAGATTGGTACAATTTTCCATTGCCAAGGTGGTTATGTTGATTAATGTAAGACATAAATTTTAGTATTACCTGCATTGCGTACCTATTGGGTATATCATATTGGCACTGAACATACATAGGAAATACTATTCACAGAGTCAACCAGTGTGAACTTAAACTATATTAGATTTTTGATGGTGCCACAAATTTGTGTGGTGACCCCAAGCCACGAGAATTAGAGGAGTCATCATCACCCAAACTTCCTCAGCTTGTGTAGGCACATTCCTTCTAAACTTGACCATAAAACCACAAAATTTTGGTAATGTAATCTCTTCAGTATTTTTGTAGTCTTAGCCATTGATCACATGAGAAATTTATACAAGAGCAAAAGTTCAGGTTAGAAGTTAGCAGAAAGCTAGGAATGATGTGAAATAACTGGCAGCATAGTACAGAAATGTAGGTTCTATATTTTCCTTCTGATTTTGAGAAAATGTTTACAAATTAGGGCACATTCACATGTCGGCTATTATACTATTATGTTTAATATAGACTTTACCAATAAAATTAGAATTAGGTGTAGCTTACATTATAAATGGATCTTTTTTTTTAATAATTGTATATCTGGAAATAGGTTTAATAATGCAATTATTTTATTTTCAAAGAGAAATGAACTTAATTCTACAATCCATCCCCAAACTACAGAATTGATATCAATCTGGTTTTCTGTATTTGAATCTCAACAGCTCAGTGTTAATTATATCAGAGGAAATTCTTTACATCTTCATCGATTACAAAATTTACCAAAGAAAATGTATCAACCAAATAGAATTTTTAAAATACCTTACTGTTAAGGAATGAAGCCCCTTTAACATAAAGGATTGTTTTCTAGCCTTGGGAGAAATAGATATTAAAATATTCTTTGATCTGGAACATAGATATACAGGACCTACAAGATTCCATTTGAAATTTTCTTATGTCAGTAAAATAGCCACATTTACACTTCCAGCAAAAATACCAGTTAAAGGTTAAGTCCAAATAATATAGCTATGGCACGTTTTCATGTCTTAACTCAAGGGTTCTGTCCATCAGTATTGAATAAAAAAGTGTGGAAGTTCCTAAAATTAGTATATTGTATGATCTTGTGATTTTTTAAATGTAAAATTTAAGGGGAAGTTATGGAAATGCACCTTTTCAATGGGCAATGGCAATTCTAATAAGTATGATATAGGCTAAAATGGTATGTTTGTTTACATAATTTATGTACATGATCACTCTGGGTGTTTTTCTTTTCAGAAAAACATGATTGGGTTAAGAAAAGCTAAAATACTTATTTAATGATTTTTTTTGAAAAATGAAATATAACTATTAACTGATGTTCAAAACAGGCTCTATATATTATTTTTTTTCATATCAGGTGGTAGTTAAAAAGTAATGACTGTATTGATCTTAGAAAGAGAAGATTGGCTTTCTAACAATTACTAATGTAGGTTTGTGGGTGTTATCATCCAAACTGAATTGAGAGATAATGCTCAATGCTCATGTGTTTTAAAATATTTGTAATAAGTTCATCAACTACTTTACAATGAATCTTTTTAGTTCTTATTCTAAAAATTAATGCTGGCTTTACATTCAGTTTAACTAGTTAAGTGAAACAGTATTTATGGTGCAAAAATTATTTTCCCATTATTTTCCTCATAATAATTTGGCTCTCCTAAGCTATAATTTCTGAAGAGTTTTTACTACTTTAACATTTTGTGGTCTGATATCTGTCAAAATGGACAATTAAACAGGAAACATCCCACTTACACATGTTTGCTTTATAAAAGGATATGGAATGTATAGATCAGCTGTTCGTTTTTTGTTTTTTAAACCAGCATCAACCTACATCTTGGTATAAACTTACCAAGTATTCAGAGAATAGTGCTGGTGAAAATTTAAATAGAATAGGCATGAAGAAAATAGGATATTTATTGACTGATGTCCTTTCAACCTAAGACTAGTGAAAACCTTCATTTTTTTCAGAGCTGAAGAAAAAAACGCACATTTAAGATCATATTTATTGGTGCATGTAAGCCATTATCTTAACTGTCTTACTGAACTGGTTAATGCTGTTGATTGTTGAAATGTGAAATGTAGTCACTGTTGACCTGTAAATATCTGCCAGAGATGAAAAAAATATTTTAAGGTATTGTAAATAAAGATGTATAAAATTCATTATCAGTCTGCAATGCAGAAACATATCTAAGATGTTAAATATTGTGTTTCTTAAGAGATGTGTAATTTTTCCCTAGATGTATCTAGTTACAGTAAGAATGTAAATGTTCTTTTTGTACAGTATAAAAATACAACTTTATTTGCCTTTCGACTGGATTTCCCTGAGTTAATTTGATATCTTACCTAAATTTGATACCTTCAAATGGCCCTTCATTGCATTTTTTTCAAAGCATGCTATTTTATTTAGGTCTGAACCTTTTATTTACATGGCACCCTATTAAGGCAGTTTACAAAATTAATTAAGGCAATATATAAAACTAATTATAGCACCATGAAATAAGATATAACATGAAGGCAGGAGTGAAATTAATACATAAAATATGTGCCATATGTTTCTGTATGTTATTGTTGATAAACAGATTTATCTCTGAACCTTAAAGCAGCTAAATGCAGAAGTAAGATTAATTATGTGATTTTCAGATATTCTTAAATCAATTTCTCATATGAAGCACAACTGTTTCTAGTACTGAGATGTTAGGAAATTTTCTTTCCTTGGTCCTTTATAAAGAGCAGTTCGTCATTATTTCAGTACTACCTACATTCACCTCAGCAGTACATTTTGAAAGTGTCTGTGTGTTCACAATCTTACCAGCAGTTTTCTCTAATCAATCATTAAACTTTTCATCTTTCCTACATTGTGTTTTCTAAAGTATACTTTAGCTTTCTCTTCTGAGCCCCAGGCCCGTTTCCTTTCTCTTTTCATGCACTTCCTAGAGAAATCTCTCTCGTGCTTTTTTCATTAAGGCTATTATTCCTTACTTAGGGACCAAGGCTTTCTTCTCATTCAGATTAAAGCAATACAAAGCACATCGGGTTTCTTTATATGTTGTTTATTATGACTTCATCCAAAATCACTGTTATGGATTAGCATTTTCAGAAGAGAATGGATTAAAGTAACTCACCAAGCTTGTTTTATTCTCTTTGACTCTGGATCTGCATTAGGAAAAATGACATTCACCAGTAGACAGTTTCAATTTTTTTCCTTTTATTAAAAATGTAATAGTTGCTCTTTTTGAAAAACCTTACAAAATATAAAGTACAAAAGGAAAAATCATTAATATACTAGAATAAAGTAATGAATATTAAAAAGATAGTATAGGCTCTATCCCTCCACACACATACAATGCTGGTCCAGGTCACAATATTTTATGGTCCAAAGGTTCTTCTCACATGAATTAGACAACAGTTAACATTTTGGGGGTACGAAGATGTGCCAGCCACCATTCTAAACACTTTAAATAAAATGCATTAATTCAGTAATTAATACAACAGTGTCCAATAAGTACTATTACTCTCCTTTTATAAAAAAAAGAAAGTTCATCTGTCCAGGTTCACAGAGCTGGGATTGAATTTACTCAGGCTCATGGATTTGTGCACTTAACTATTATAAGATACTGCTTCACACACTGTTGACTGCTCTCAATTATTAGTACACCTGCCCTATCCCAAGGCCAACGCCCCTGTGGGGGATGGGAAGGAAAGGGGATTGAATCTCAGTAGAGCTAGATTACTAATAGGCAAACTAACTCCATGAAAAAAATGAAGTCTGAATACCCTAGACATTTATAGTTATAAATTCTCTCCTACATATATACAGTGGTTTTCATTATGTACTATCCTTAATTATGTTCTTGGGAGAAAAGAGAAAATAGTTCTGTGGTTCATATGAGGAACCTCAGTGGAGCAAAGCTGGTTTAGATCATAATAAAGCAGAAGAGGCTCCCAAATATAAAACAAGAATATTTTACAGGTCTTTGTTCCCAACCACCATGGGAAAAAAGCTGCGAGGTAGTTTGGGAGGAAATTAGAATTTTGTTGGACTGGCTTGCAAATATTTTATGATCTAATGTTATTTTAAACTACATGGGAGAGGGTAGAAAAGTCTGTGTAGGGCATTTAAAGACCATCTATCCCTGGGCCATAATCCAAATATGATGGAGATAATCTGTAGAAACAGCCCTTGTTTAGTTCAAGATGTTACATTAGAAAGGGTGGGACTGACTTCTCCTAAAACTCACTTGATGGGCCAATCACTTTTGGCACTTTATCTTAGGGATAAATGTTTAATATACATTAGGAATGAAACTTTTTTATGGCCAGGTCATCCCAGTATAGCCTTAAGTTCTGAATCATATAATTTAACTAAAAACACTACTCAAAAAGATTTCATTCTCTCAATTATTCAATAGGGAATTCCCTAACATAGGCTTTCCATCATTTATTTCCTCAAAGCAAAATAATCACAGGATTTTAAGAAATCTTTAGACATTTAATTTAACAACTTATAAATCATAGCTTTATGCGTACCGTTATTTTCTGTATTGAAGATTATATACTAAAGCTAGTTTCCCAGAATTTGAATTATTATGTGTACATTTTTTAAGGCTTACTCTGCCAAATCTTTCTCTACTAATTTGTGTGTGCTTTATGAGGGCCTCATCATCCCTGGTACAAGGACATCCTGGAAATAAAGTAGGTTCTGGCTACTATAATCTCTTATTCCTAGATGCTCAGATAGAAGTAATCACGTTTTCTCTCTTGAGCATGACTGAAATCAAATTAGTATCTTAAGAAAATCTCCGAGTAGACATGATTTGCTGAGGCATCTACTACTGATATTCTAGATCTATTGTACCCTTACCAAGTGTGTTTTAATTCATAGCATCTAGGTCATTTCATATCTGACAAAAATTTTTATTGCCAAGTTTTCATTCTCCCTAGCTCAGTAGTTCTCAACCCTAGCTGCACATTAAAACCATCTGGGAATTTTTTTCTTTAATTCTGATGACCAATCCATAATCAGACTCTCTGGGATTGAGATCTGGCATCAGTAGTTTTAAAAGCTCCCCAGGTAATTCTCATTTGCAATCAGCATTGAAAACTTTCTTCAACCCTATTATAATCCTTGGCATTTATATCTAAGCTTTCTTTCTTTCTATATAACTGACAACATAAGAAAGATATTAATTCATTCCAAAATTTTTTTAATATAGACTAATTCTTATCAAGGCTGACATCTGCTTTCTAGTCCCTCAATCTGGCCACTGAATACTATATCTACCAATACAATTTCATTGGCCCCAACCTTAAGTTCTTTGTATTTGTTGGCCTGCCTCCTTTTTTATGCCCTTCAGTTTCTGTCCCAAGTCTTCATTACTTTAAGTATCACTTTTTCAGCAGCCTCAACTCACTTCCTCCATAAAATATCATGTTAGAACATTCTTAATTTCCTGTTCTCCCCTACCACTTCAAAAAACAACTATATCAACAGCTATCCTCATCCACTTGCTGCCTGTCTCAGAGGATGTAGGTATCTTACTTTATTTCTTTTACTTAACATCCCTGGGCAATTCTCATTTTTACGCCTTTGCTTTTAATCTATATGCTGATGATGCTTGGATTTCTATCTCTAGGTCTTGACCTCTTTAATGAATTTCAAACTCATAACCAACTACTGGGTAATTGGATATCCCTCAGGCACTTGGAAGTCAAGATGCCCCAAGCTAAACTCAATTCTCCTACCCTTTCCCTCTAGCTGTTATCTTTCTTTCACAGCATACTCTGATACCCAGGCAACCAAACAGAAACCTGAGAATTAGATCGTTCCTCTCCCTTACCTCTATATCCAGTCTCCAAATCCTGCTTTGTCTCTTTTTCCCCTAAATCCATCCTTTTCTCCCCACTTTTACTACTATAGCTGAAATTCATGTCTTCATCATCATATCCAAATTGCTTCGATAGCCTCCTAATTAGACCCCTTGCTCCTCTCAAATTTATCTTCCTTAGTGATTAATATAAAACACCTATCAGTCTCCCGGTTATAAATATTCATGGTTCCATCATAGAGGATAAATTCTATGTTCCTTGGTCTAAGACTTAACTTCTTCTACCCCATCTCCTATCATTCTTGCTTGCACGTAAGGTTGAAGTAACACGAGACTGCTTTATACTACCACACCTAGTTTGTATTACCATACTTTCTCCCTGAAAGCCCTTCTCCACCCCCATGCCCTATCATCTGAAGCTAGATTGGCCTTTTCTCTCTTATCCGACACCCCTTACCCCACCCACCAGGGTAAGTGGTAGTTGTCCTAGTAGTTCTCAGTAAATTCTGTCTTTGCACATAACTACCTTATTGTATTGAAATTATCTGATTCTACCAACTTATGGAATTTAAGTTCCATAAGGGTAAGGGACATACTGGGGCACTATGTTCTTGGTACATATAGGTGCTCAAAGTTAATTAAATAAACTGTTAAAAAAAAAAAAAAAGAAGACCAGAAGAAAATAATGGATTTTTCAAGCAGCAATAATGTCAGTATAAAACTTTTCATAATTCTGGCAATAAAGATAAAAGTTAATTGAGTTTCCCAAATTTAGGAATTGTCAACATAACATCAAAATGTAGAAAATTTTTGTAAGTTTATCTGACCCAAACAGGACATACCTGGAAACAAAATCTCAACATACTGAGAAAAATGCTTCTCAGAATGACACTGCAGTTTCTTTTATACATTTGGAATTGAGGGAACACAAGGAAGATTACATGAATGTGGGAGAAAGAAAGGCTGGGAAATCTCTATAACTGGATTATAGGATAGCTAAGATCATGTGCTCTCTTGAGGGTGGTTATGCTTCCGTGGGTCTGAAAAAGGCATTTCAAAAGTGTGTTAACCTAGATGCACGAAAACAATGGACAGGGCTTGCTTAAGGCATAAACCTTTGACTACGGATGTTATAGGCCTGAAGAGTGACTATCCACTATGATCAGATCACCTTTTAAGGTTACTTTTAATTGGATTTATTACAGAGCCCCTTTTTTGTCCACAGAACCAATGCAAATATCTCGTCCATAAGACCTACCAACTTGGTCCTAGTAATTCAATCTAGATCTCTCACTGATATCTATATGGCTATTTAGATTATATTTCAGTTTGGAATGTATAAACTGATATTCTTGATTTGATCATATAAAATACAGTTTGGGTAAAAACTTTGAATATAAAAAGTAAACTTGAAAAAATATTTTAATTTTTTAATTCAGTCATCTTGAGAAAGAAATATAAAGATATTCTGATTTTCTTCATTGTGCTGACAGATGAGATCATTGGTGAAGAAAATATGCAGCTAATATCTTGGTATTGCAGTCTGCTGTTTAAAAATTAAGAATTATTTTTTCCTTTAAAAATCTAAATTTGTGACAAATTCAAAAATATCAGTGTACTTAAAATACTGAAATACTTGGGAGTTTCTTGTGATTGTTTTATAATTTTTATTTTAAATATATCATAAAAGGTCAACGGGGAAAGTTACTGATATTTTTGTAATATAATCCCATTACAAATTATAGTTTGTTCCATTTCAAATATATACTGAAGAAAAACAATAGTCTGAATACTATTAAATGTTATTAAAATTCTTATAAAATTAAAAAAAAATCTAAATTTGATAACTCATTTCACCTTATAGTCCTGTTTTATTCCTTGTTTTGTAGATATGAAATATGAGATTTAAAAAATTACAGTTTGGAATAAATTTTCTTGGTTCTATATAGTATGTTTGCTCCTTGTCTATTTGTTTTGTCTCTTTCAGAGTTGACTCTTTATTCAAAAGTTTAGTGACGCTAAAATTGGTTGGAGCTCTGCCTCTAGGGCCAGGGCTTGTCAGTTAGTAGGTTTCGATGCAGATCGACAGGTTAATTGGCTTTTTCAGTTGGGGGCCTTCTTGCTGCCATTTACAGTTGCCTCTAGTTTCAACTTCCTGCCATCCCTAAATGAATGGTATGGCTCTGTTTTTATCTATCTTAGTATACATAAGAAATATCATAACATGGGGGGAATTTTTATAGGAGTTTGAGTATATTTTAGCCAAACTAATGACAATTGTTGGGAAATAAGATCTCAAATGCTCTGCAGTTTATTTTATACATTTAGAATTAAGGAAGGAAGGTAAAGAAGAGTGCATGAAAGTGGGAGAAAGCAAGGTGGGGACTGGATTTCAGGATATTTAAGATTTTGTGCTCCCTTAAGAGTGGTTAAGCTTTTGAGGGGTGTGGAAAAAAGGATTACTGCTGGCATTTCAAAGGTGTGTTAACCTAGATGCACAAGAAAAATGGATAGGGCTTGCTTAAAAACCTTTTATTAAAGAAGTTATAGGCCAGGGTGTGACTACCTATCATGACCTGCCCAGTTAGGAATTTATGATCAGATCATGCTGCAAGGTTACTTTTGGTCACTAGACGTGTCAGATTTATTACAGAACCCCTTTTGTCCACACTAATATCAATCTAAAAGAGAAACTAAGCATCTATTTTCCATACATACATCATTAAAAAAAAATCAAAACTCACTACTCACATCAAGGCCTCTAAGTCTGTAGAAGACTGTGAAGGTCTGAGGGAGAGACGGAAGAGTTTACATCACAGAAACATAACATACTAGTTGAATATCTTTAATATTGTTAGATTTTCAAATTTTTAAGAACTCTTAAAGCACTTCATTGTTAACTGTTGGTTATGTTCTTTCCCCTTCTCTCTACTCACCCCTCAAATTATTTCTAATGTAGAGAAAATTACCTTTCTCTTTTGTTTTCTTAAATTCTGCCGACCAAAATAAATATTAAGGTATCCAGGCTACCATCATTTTAGTTTCCCAATTGGATTTCCTAAATTTCCAAAATGGTGTAACTCCATCTTTTCCTTCCTTCTGCTCTCGCTCTTACCTCCTTTATCCAGAGTGTCAAATGAACTTTCAATGAGTCTGGTGGTGGCTTTGGACAGAAATAAATGATAGATTTATTCAAGGGTTTTCAGGTTTGCAAATTGGAAACACAACTAGGCAATATGGAGAATGTTCCAAACCAGAAAGAAAAGCTAAGAGTTCTTTTAGTAAAGAGTACATTGTTGAAAAGAATCAGTCCTGCATTCTTAGCCTCTTCATTGGTCCAAGATAGTAATCCTCTAGATCAGAGATCCCCAACCTTTTTGGCACCAGGGACCGGTGCTCCTATGAGAATCTAATGCCTGATGATCTGAGGTGGAGCTGAGGTGGTGATGCCAGTGCTGGGGAGTGGCTGCAAATACAGATGAAGCTTCCCTTGCTCACCTGCTGCTCACCTCCTGCTGTGTGGCCCAGTTCCTAACAGGCCCAGAGGTTGGAGACCCCTGCAGATGACTGGTGGGCTGAGTAATGGATGTCGTCTAAATATGGGAACTTTCTTTCCTTAGTCCTTCAGGGAGTAATCAGAGGGTTATCTGGAGGTTTGATGTGTATCCAGGCACTGACACAATACTGGAAAGTTCAAAAGTTTGAGTACCCAGGCTAGTTAAAACTAGAATCATTTCTTCATACATCAACCTACCTGATTTTGGTAATTTAACAGCAAGACTACAGGGACTTCATTTTATTTCTTCACTCTATTCCTCACAGAGGACTCTGTAGTTTTGTTGTGAATGAATGAGTGAATCCAACTGAAACTGCATTCTGTTAGTGGGTAATGCTGTATCCCAGCAGTATTGCTTCTTCATTATCTTTCTATGTCTGATCATTCTGTCTTCCCTGTCTCTTCATTCCATTAGCAGTCTGATCCTATCTCCATACTCAGTGTCCAGACCCTAATATCTTCTCTACAGAGAGGTCTCCCCTCCTCCATACCCACACCTTTGAGATACACAGGATCCTACCTTTCATACCAAATGATGTGAAGTTTAAAATAAAAAGAGAACGCGAATTCATTCCCATATCTTTTTCCTCAGAAGAAGGTATCTAGAGAAACCAGTAAACACTTTTAAGACTACCTCAAGACAGAGAGACAGCTGAGCACTGTACACCTCTGCAAACTTCCTAGGATCTAACCAACACTTCCTTCACCCTTCCCCGGAAACGGAAAGAGGAAAGGCAAGGCCCCGAACCCAGCGCCTAGGGATTAGTTTCCTCAGGTTTCTTGGTGAACGAGGCCGGAGGCCGGCGCAGGCTGGCCAGCAGAGCCATCACTCTCGGCTGACACAGCTTCCTATTGGGTTTCCGGGGCTCCGCCCCCTGCGCAGGGCGGGAGATTCGGTGTGCAGCAGCCTCCCATCCCCCGGCCTCCGGGGTTTTCCTGCTCGACCCTGCGAGCCTGCGAGTCTGCCACCCTGCCACCCTGCTCCAGTACCGCTTACAAAAATTTGGCCTTACCCCTGGGGCCCAAGCCGCCTTTCCTGCCGCGACTATTCAACAGAGTGGCGTCCGGCAGGCGCGAGGTGGCCAGAGCCGCGACTGGCCGTGACCTAGCGGTGCGTGGTGGTTCGCCCAGGCAGCCTGCCTGCCTCTCCTGCCTAGCTCGAGCTTGGGAGGTGAGTCCAGGTGCGCGCAGCCGGGCGGCCGAGCTGGGGCGCGCGTGTTCCCGGGCTTCTTGGCTCTCAGGGCAGGACCGCTGCACCTCCCTCTTTTCCCTCAGGCTGCCCGCAGCTCCGCGACCCTGAGGACCCCCGGCTGGAGGGCACGGCCAACTAACTGGTCAGAGGCTCGAGGCCCAGGCCGAAGTCCGTCAGAGGCTTGCTCGGGTGAGAAGCTCTCTCTGGAAAGACCGTCTGTCTGTCCAGCAGTGATAGGCCTCTGTACAAGGGACGCCTGTTACCAACATATCTGTTTCCTTGCATAAGGAACCTTGGGATTGTAAAGAGAGATACGCAGAAATCCGTAACGAACGAAGTAAAGTGTCCTGGGAGAGGAGCAGGTACAATGAGGGTTGAGGAGGAAGAGATCTTTTCCCAAAACTACCACTGGGGCGAAACCCTTTAATGTCATCCCAGCCTGGAAGCACTAAATGAATCCTGCTAACTGAACAGTTACCCTGGGACAACGCTTGATTATAAAGTGTCGATAAACCAGGCTCTTTTGGTAGATCTTTTTGACTTAGAAGGATATTGATATATTACTTGTTTTGCAATTGAAATCCTAATAGCACCATCACACCTTCCCCCTATTTAAACTTCAATCTGAAGAAAGGTAGCATGGCCCTGCACAACTTTGTGTTGTGGCACTTCATGGTAAATGGACATAATTCATTCATCGTTTATTCAGTACTTTTTCTATTAGATGTTAGATGGGATATAGAGATGTACAAGAGATCTGAATGGTTAAGTTGAAGTTTAAAGTAAAAATAGCCACGTTAGGGAACATTTAATTAGCATTTTCACATGCCAAGCACATGATTTCATTTAATCGTCACAACTTTGTCCAGAGTCACAGGGTTATAAATGTGTAGTTAAGATCAGAATCCAGGTTTATCTGATATTAAAATTGGTGCTTAACTACTACCCTATACTTAACCTTTTCTTAAAAGAATTGTTTTTAAAATTTGCGGTAAATCTGTATTTGCTCTCAAAGGAGAGTTTGCTGCTCTTAGCACTCATTTAGTGCTGCTGTATTGTTTTGTGAACTCCTTGAAAGGAGTCTTCTTAAAAGTAAAGCACCCCCCCCCACTAAAAAAAATAGAGCACCCAAGACAGTGCCTTGGTGAGTAAATGGTCACTAAATATTTGGATTATATGTGATTGTTGGGTAGTGCTTTTTAAAGAAATACTTGGAGAAAAAGAAAGGAAAATTTTCTTTCAAGGTCTTTTGTAGAAATTTCTTCACTTTGGTGATTCTGTGCTATATAATTGATGTCTTAAAATCTAGAAAAGGAAATTACACATAAATGCATTCGGCTACAAACAAGAGCAAGTTAGACTGCCTCTGTCTGGGCACTTCTTATGTAAAGTATCATAGGAAAATTGCCTAGGACAGTATTCAGTTGTCTAGAATATTTGTTTTTAAATTTTCCTTGAAAATCTACCCCTGCAAGGAACTACTAAACTTTTGCCGATGAGAATTATGTAACTGATCTTTTACTTCTTTTTCACTTTGATTGCCAGGAAGCTTACAGCCAAAATTCTTTCTAGGATTTTATTTTCTGCTTTTCTTTAGATTTTCCCTGATCCAGACTCTCTATTAGTATTAATAGTTTATCATTCATTTTGTTACATTTGCTTATTGTCACTGCTTCAAACCTTTGTAGAACAAAGCAGCATATAATTTAAAATAATGTAGATTATATGGAATCTGGCAATGTTCTTAAAAGTATGCTTGGTAGAACTAGTGATGTTTAATCTGATGAACTGGAAACCTAGAGAACTACAGAAGTCTTTGGGTATTTGAATTGCTGTGTGGGAAAATAATTAAACATATTACGAATAGTTTCCAACGTTTAGGATATTTAATGGCAGAGTGTTTGGTGTAATAGAATGATCAGAGACTTTGTAATTAGTCAAACTGAGGTTTCAGCCCTAACACATTTTCTAATTGTGTGAATTTGGGTAATTTCATATTTAACTCAGTTTACTCATCTATAAATAGGGGGAATTTGCATATAAATTTTTAACTGCCTCAGAATCTGAGGATTTAATAATCTGATGTACATAAAAGTGACTAAAACATTGCCTGACAAACAGCCTCCCCAGAAAATTTTATACAAATGTAAAGAAATTGTAAGTTTATTTTACACAAATGTCATGTAGGTACATTAAACTTTTCCTCTACTACAACTAAATTTTCATAATAAGCAGTATGACTAGAAGATGGCCCAAAAAGATATGTTCTACTGAAACTGATCATATAAATTATAGATGAAATATTATCTTTATACACAAAATATAAACCTAATAAATTGTCATGAAGATTAAATGAGAATACATATAGAATATTCAAAACTGTATCTACCACATAGTAAGTGCTCAAATTTTGGCCTCTTTTCTCTACCCACCTGCCCCCACAATCTGGATCTCTGTCTGTAAGGTTTCCTGGCCAAAATGATAATAGTTGTTTTGTACTTTACTGTGCCTTGGCTTTGTAAGAACCAAATTTATCTATCTTTGTTAAAATTCTTGAACTTCTTTGGTTGCTTTCATTTTCCCATTAGCTGATGCTGAGTTCTTTTTCCAGTTACAGGTGATTTTACCTGAATTTTCCAGCTGCAGAATGTACAGTACCTTTAAAGGTAAATGAAAACTAAGACAAGTCATTTAAGTGTGCTAGTTACAAAAGAAAACTTGACAACACTTAGGAAGTCAACTGCATGGAAATAACTGACTCATGAGGGACATAGTACCTCTTATCAGGAGAAAAGGGAAAAATAGGATTTATAAGAGAAAAAAAATCATTTTGGGGGTAAACTGATTAGCTAGCAGCCAGTTGGAATCATCATTAATTAATTTCAGGCTATTAGTATTATAAGTTCCGAAGCTAAATTTTGTTAGAGTAGCCAGAGTTGATTAAGCTTTTGCCTGCCAAACTCAAGTTTGTTCAGTGAAGAACTGATTATAAAGTATTGGAAATATTTATACTTACTATTTAGTTACCAAGATACCTAAAAATCCTTATTCACATTTGTAAAGTTGTTTGGTAAGCATGCAATAATAGTAAAGGGAGTTGCTTGAGGATTTTGTGATCCAGGCTTTGTACACCAGTGACCATTTACACAGACTTCTATGAATTGTCTGTATCTTTCTAGTGAGCAGATATTAAAATCCACCAAACCATTATTCTTTGTTCGGGTGCTCCTTTTCTAAACTCTAATGTATTAACCATTCTTTTTATGGTAATGTCGTTATTTTGTGGATTGATTAGAGCTTTCTTTATGGGCAGAATTGTTTTCTTGTTATTACATTTTAGTTGCCTTGAATGGATTTGGCTTTTTCCAAATCTCAGACACCTCTTTCTCTTATTTTTCAGATAAAGAATTGTTATCTATTATCAAAAATGTAATGTTAATACAATAATGTATAATATATTTTTCATACTTAAAAGACTTTTTAAAATATACAAATACCTGTATTTATTATGTGAATGTTTAATTTATTTGGCTGTTGATATGAATTTTTCATTACTTTTGAGTGTTTTATTGCTTTTGTTTAGGTTGGCAATGATGAATAAACTGGAATTAAAAGAAGACAAGATGCTGGAGGTTCAGTTTGTGGGAGATGATGATGTTCTTAATCACATTCTTGATAGAGAAGGAGGTACTGAGCAATTCTACAATTGAAGAGATTACCTTTATAATGGTTATAGATCGTTTCACTTTTTAAAATAGTTTAACCTATTTTGAACATATAGCACAAAATAGTTGATCTAGTAAGACTGTAAATAAAAACTAAATTTTAGTTGACTCCATTCAAACTTTATTGAAAATTAAAAATAATAAAGCCTCATCTAAAATGAAATGCTCAATAGTAGTGGTAAATAACTACCCATTGTAATTAAAATTTGTAGTTATTTTGACCCCACTAAAAAATACACTTTCAAGGTTGTTTGTTTTTTTTTAACTTAGTTGTGTAAACTATGGAAGAGTGGTCTGTACTTAAATCAAAGAGAAAACACGATTTTTTTTTACATCTTTTAAGTAGTGACAATATAAGTAGTATAATTTCTTTACTTATTTAAATGTAATGTTTAGAAAGAATTTATACCTGCTATTTTCTAATTCCTTTTTTTTTTTTTTTTTTGCCATGTTCTAATTCTTTGGATATTCTTATAGGAACTAAATTAAAAAAGGAACGACCTCAACTTTTGGTTAACACAAAAAAAATAATAAAGAAGCCAGAATATGATTTGGAGGAGGATGAACAAGAAGTCTTAAAAGATCAGAACTATGTGCAAGTTTTAGGACAAGATATTCAAGGTATTTGGGGATGGAAGGGGACTGTACATTCATATTTCTGCTAATAGCCAAAATTACTTTGCAGGATGTATAAAAGTAGTCTGGTAGGTTAGGCAATGGTGTGCTATATTATTTTCTCTAATTTTTTTTTACTATACACATAACAAAATTTACCATTTTTACCATTTTTTTCATCTTTACCATTTTTAAGTGTACAGTTCACTTGTATTAAATACATTAATAATGTCTACTATCACCACCATCCATCTCCTGAACTATTTTCATGTGGTGTGCTATGTTAATATATTTCTCATGAGAAAAGCATTGCTTCAGGTTTTTTCACTATGGTTGAAAGGTTGGAAGCACTGAGTTTCTACTATAGATTTTTTCTCTGCAGTTCTTTTTTTTTCCCAAACAGCCGGTCCTAAACTTAATTATTTTTAGAAGGATGGATTCTGCAGACTAACCACTCTAAAGTTACTTTTTAAGATAATTATATTTTTAACTAATTTGGAATAATTTCATAAAGTAAGTTACTTCATTTTTATCTTCATCTTTTTTATAGAAATAGTTAGAAGGAACCTTCCAAGACGTGACATTGTTCCAACCTTGGCATGCCAGATTCCTGCCAAATTATACTTAGCATTTTTTAGGCTTGAATTATATTTTAGTTAGGGCTTAAGGAGCACAGATTTATATTAGGGTGCAAGGAACACAATTCTACCCAAGTTGGCTTAAAAAAATAAAAGCCAAGGAACAAAATCAGTATTGTCAGGCACTAAGGCACTGGAATTGGGACCACTTTAAAATTGGAGGATTTGGCTTTCATGCATCTCCTAGTCTCCCTCATGTCACCTCTGTGCACCTGTTTTGTTCTCTCTATGCCATCTATCTCCCTCATGTACATATTTTTTACTCTCTCAGACTTGGCTTATAAATGGCCATCATGACTACTTCTGACCTTTTTGTCACTTCTTGAGTCATAGTGCTTCTGGGTTTGGTCCAGTGTTAAATAACATGATACGAAAAGTGACCACTGTCCCTCAGAAGGCTTAGTGGGTAGGGTAGATTCTCTGAAGAGTTCCCAACTAGAGAGTTGACATTTTTAGGGCATATTCTAAATAGAATTTTAGATTCTTGACTAGCTGTTATGCTAGATCTAAGAAGGGATTGAAAGAAGAGACCAAAACAAAAATCTTTTCTTAAAAATTTTTTCTTACTGCAAAAGTAATACATATTTGTAGTAAGAAACTCAGTGCTTCCAACCTTTTTCACCTAATGGCACCAACAATAAATATTTGGAGGCACACTGGAATAAATAGAGGAGAATGCTCCAGACTAGGGACAGATGCCCTTGGGCTTCTGACCTCTATTGCTGCCAACTCTGTAGTTCCTGACTGGCAACCTCAAAGGCCTAATAGGATCAGTACTCAGCACACCTGTTACCCATACCTTTAATTTCTGTACACTTATTGAGAAATTTTGTCTTAGAGCAGTGTTTCCCAACATTAATTGATTGATTGATTGATTATTATCCCCTGATTAGACATTTAGAGCCTTATTAGACATTTTCTCTTAATCACTCCTAACCCATAAAATTTTAATACTGCATATATGCTATATATCGGTTTATATACTGTGACCCTTTGGAAGGCCACAGACCATTATAATATCTAAGGTATTTTTCACGCTCCTCCCACTAAGAGCCAATTTTCATTCCATCAGGTGTAATATTCTTGTTGGGAATGCATGCTTTAGAGAACATGGAACTGTTAATACTTCAGTTTGTATCTTTTATCCGTCTGTATGCATTCACACATTCAAGCTTGTGTCAACAGTCTCTGCGTCCAGGAAATGGAGCTATTTATTTGGCTATAAGCATGTACAATAGAGGGGCCCATAACTTAAGTTTAAGTCTTGCAGACATGACTCTTCTTGTTTTGTTTGTTTGTTTGCCAGAATATATATAGGAGCCAAAAGTGATATTCCAGTTAAGGTGTAAGAAGGAGAGTTTTCTTTTAATGTTTTTTTCCAGGAAAGAAATGATGACATCTATTGTAGTCTTCTTTAACCTTATTTGAGATATTGAACAATATGCTTCTGTCTAGTCTTTAATTATAAACAGAAAACAAGTAAGCATTATTTTTAAAACAAGGACATTTGACAAAGAATCTTTAGGAATAGTTACAAAAGAAAAAAACTGTTCAACAAGGACTTCTAAATACTTTACTTACTATTGAAGTATAAGCTGTTTCTTATAAGCAGCACACATCTTGACATGCGTGGCATAATTCTCATCATCTATTAATGCATCCCATCCGGAGAAAAATCATTGCATGACAATACTGGTGATCTCAGGCATGAAATAGAAGAGCATTTTGTCTTGACAATCAGTGAACATTTGTTTTGTTTTTACTCTTATGAACAGTGTAATTCTGTAATTGATGCTTTATAAGTTGGCGGCTAGAAAATTCTGAGACAAATATGTGGTCCATTTGTAGTAGTATATAGCCTTATTCTTAATTCCAATTTGAACTTATGGACTATGTCAGGTTTTTCATTGTGGTTAAATAAAAAATTATTTTTAAAAATTGTGATAAATATACATAACAAAATTTACTGTCTTAACCATTTTTAAGTGTATAGTTCACTATTAAATATATTCACATTATTTTGCAGCCAATCTCCAGAACTCTTCAACAGTCTGGAAAAGGAAAAACTATGGAGACCGTAAAAAGATTAATGGTTGCCAAGGGTCAGGGGGAAGGAAGGGATGCATAGGTAGAGTAGGGAGGATTTTTAGGCCAATGAAACTATTCTGTATGATACTATAATTGTGGATACGTATCACCATACTTTTGTCAAAACCTGTAGAATGTAGTACACCAAGAGTGAGCCCTAATATAAGTTCTGCACTTTGAGTGGTAATGGTGTGTCGAAGTAGGTTCATCGATTGTAACAAGTATACCATGCTGGTGTGTGATGTCCATAGTGGGGAAGACTGTCCATATGTGGGAGATCTTTGTAACTTCCACTCAAGTTGACTGTGAATTTAAAACTACTCTCCAATATAAAGTCTTTTAAAAATTCAGTACTTCTGTTCATCAGATGACACCGAGAAGAAGTGAAAAAGACAAGTCTCAGAATAGAGAAGATATTTCTTCTGGAAATAAGAAACATGTAAAAAGATATTCAAGCTCCTTAGTGATTAGGGAAAGGCAAATTAAAATACCTCTCCCCATGAGATTCACTTTACAACCACTAGATTGGCAAAGATTAAGTTTAGATAATACTAAGTGTTAGTGCATAGATACATCAGTGGGAACTCAAAATAAGGAGAGCAAACACTGACTTTGGAGAAATTTGGCAGTGTTTTGTAATAACAATAATAAACCTATTACATATTAACATAAATTAACTATCTTTAGATAAAAAACAACTATTTCCAAAAAAAAGTTAGTGATGAAGGCATGGTTTTACGTTTTTGCAAATCTCTAATAGAAAACAGCTGGATTTTCATATCTGCTTCCACACATTTCAGTATCCAACAGAGTGGTGATGTCCTCACACATCTTGTAGTCTCAGGAACACCTCACTGTATACTCTTGTTTGATAGACAGTCAAGTGATGTCTTTGTTATTATGAAATAGTTTTGGCCTAAGGGACCTTGGAGACCTCAGACCACACATTGAGAATTGCTAGCGTATGAGTGTCCAGTATGTTGTAGGTAGTAGTTATTATGTAAAGGGAAGATTGAAGAATGAAATTAAGTCATGATCCTAATTGAGAGTTTCTACCATCTAACAAGTACTTAAATCTCAGCCTTGTCAATTAGCAGTTGTACTTTGCATGTTTGCTGCAAGAAGGAAACATAACTATTAAAGTCACTTCTGTCCTCTCTCCTCAAGGGCAACTACTACCTTGAATTGAATACATATCCCTCTAGTCTGGAGGGTTTTTTTAGTGGGATTTTAAAAAAAGAGATTTATATATATATTTGTGTACCTGTGTATGTTTTTTGTGTTTTAAAATTTATATTAATAGTATCATAATTTGTTGCATATTTTAAAATGTTTTATGTATGAATATGTATTGTTAAACCTTTATGTAAGGCAGTGATGAGTACAAATCTTAAGTTTTTAGTTAAAATTTTATCTTTTTTACCATTATTAAATTTGCTCATCTTTCCTGAATACATGTTGTATTTTCTCTTTCAGAATCTTTTAAAAATGGCTCTGCTACAGATGGTGGGAATAAAGTTTATTCTTTTCAAAACAGAAAACACTCTGAAAAGATGGCTAAATTGGGTATGTTGCTTTTCTGATTTCTGTAATCATTATACATGTTTTCTAAGGTGTATTTATCCACATTCTTCATAGTTATCATCCATTGCATTCCCTAAAAGAATGATGAACGACGTCATTTTATATTAAATTATCAAACATTCCTAAAGCCATTAGTTTAAATAAGTGACTTAAGTCACACGGAGATATTCTGAATTTATTCAATAAGAGTTTTGCACTGTATATAGAAATATGTTCTTTGTATTACAGAAAACTATATAAAATTGTTAGGAATGGGCTATTCTAACATTTTTCTACTCAAGTTACCACTTATACAAATTACACATGAATTACTGATTTTCAGAGAATTCGACTGTAATAAATTACTTATAACATTAAAATTAAACTGTCGATTTAATTCTTTAAAAAAAATTCAGATGACACTATGTTTGGATCCTGTGGTATGAAGGGGTCATTGTTTTTGAAAGCTTTAAAGAAAGGAAATGACATGTGAAAGCACTTTGAAAAGGACGTCCATAAGCATATAAAGGTTTGGGAATACCAAAAAGTCAAGAGCAATGGAATAATAATTAATTACCCAGTAAAATGTAGTGGTTGTATAAGAGGGCTTATAATCTATAATTATAAAGCACCTAACATATATTTCTTAAGTGATATATCTTTATGCAATTATTCTAGCCAGTGACTATGTAAATGTTCAAGGTCAAGTGAAAAAACACTCTTTTTAAAGTAAGTGTGGACACTGATGAAAGACATATAAGAAGTAATTATAAGACCTGTTTCTGAATATAATATGATTCAGTCATTTGCAGTTCAGTTTTTCTGAAAGGTGTAATATTAAATACATCATTAATTTTGAACCTAATGTGGTATATACAATAATTTACATTGATGTATTTCTTATCTATATCAAAAATAAAGTTTTTCAGTCTCTAAAAAATGACTAAATTCTGTATAGGATCACTGAGAGAAATGCTAATGTAATTACTAGAAGAAAGATCAGATAGACACCAAGACCTAAATGAAACTCTAGGACAATCAAGCAGTACAAAGAACATTGAAGAAAGAACTAATAGTAAACAGTAGAGTGGAACCGCAGAGAAGTAATCAAGTAGTTCTTCAAGTAGATTAGCAACATGCACATAACCGTGGCGATATGTCTTATATCTGAATGTGCTGCAAGAAACTTAAATATTAGGTTGTGCATTTTTGTCATCGTGTCTGAAAGAAATATATAGTCATGAAAAGATAGTTTTCTCGATAGTTTGAGACTGATTGTGTTTTCCAAAATCTGTGTTCAGTTAGAACCTCTGTTTAGTTATGATGTTCTTTAAAGAGTTTCTTTGCCTCGTATTATTGCTAATTTTAATCTAAATGCTAATTTATATCTAATATATCAATATAAATGACTTAATATTTTTAAAATAACTTATGATCTGCCAGAAATCATATATTACTCTGAGTATAAATGATGGTTAAATATAATTGGGCTGACATGATATAGGGCTAGAAATAGACTAAGGGTTGGATTGGAAGGCTTTGTGTAATATACAGAGAACATGTCCAGGATGAGTAAATAAATGCAAACAAAAGAGCAAAGACAGAATTACTAAGCAGGACGATGAAGAGTTCAACCAACTTGGAGAAAGATGGCTTAAGGGAAATTGAAAATAGATTGGTTAGATAGTATCAGATAATAACCTGATGAGAAGCTGTCATTAGGCAAAGAGGAATTTTATTTTAAAATATGTTCCAGACGTACAATAAAAAAGTATGTAAAATACAATACAAAGGAATTATTAGAAAAATGAAAATAAAAAGACAAATATATGCCCCAATTTTTTATTATTAGTGCATCAATAACCATACATGGATGACTGTCTCTTGTTCTTTTTCCTCTTCAACTCTTCCTTTTCTTTCTCCTTTTGTTGTGTAATAAGTATTTAAAAGCAGATAATTTTTGTTTTAATATAAAACCAAAATGATCTCAGCTAAATTACTTTGTACTTATGTGGCTTTCTGTTGTGAACTTTTTCCCCTATTTTGTGGATCAACAGCCTTTCATCCAAAAATGGTATATTTTTTTAATCTTGTAAGACCAAGGCATGAGCCTTAGGCATACCTACAGGGACAGACTGTTAGGGAGGAAGAAGACCATGGAAAAGCAATGGAGTAATTACCAACAATAGCCAGGGGGCCAGGGTAATGTCACAGAATCCAAATGGAAGAGTAATTTCAAAGAAAGATTAAAAAAACTCTGTGAATGATACAGAGGACTAACGAAGTTAAGAAAAAGAAAGCCAGTGTATTTGTGGGGACTCTCATGAGTATCTTGGGTCAATTTTAAGACTGGACAATAAAACCGTGAAAGAGGTTATATAGAATTTGAGTCAGTAAAGTAGCTTTAACTTACACAAATTCAAGTATATTTTCTTCTTTTTTTTAAAAGAAGAGGGAGATAATTTAAGTAATGTATATCTTCTTTGCAAATGATATTCTAGTGTGTGTTAATTTGGCAAATGTAAATCTGTTCCTTCATCAGGCTCATTTCCCACATGCCTCTCACAGTGTGAGAATGTGAATATTTTTAAGGTTAAACATTGTATTTTTCTTTTAAAATGGCCTATTCCTTTTAGAAGCCAAATATTTTATATGATGCTCAATTGAATAGCCATCTTTTCAGTGCTATATATTCTATACAGTATTCATGTATATTATACAGTTTTAGAAACTAAAAAAAATATTATATTTTAGAAAATAAAATATGCCACATTTTAGGGGAGATATAATTTTAAATATACACAATTTTCTCTGATTTCAGACCCCACATTCTGGCCATTCTTTCTTACCTTCTATCATATAACCTTAAGTTTATATGATAAAGAAATGTAAGGCTTGAAGATGCTTGGAATACAGAGAATAAAGGTGAAAGTAGTAGTACTCTTAATATATGGGTAGGTTTATTTATCTTTCTGATAATAGTAACAGAAAGATTTCTTTTTTTTTTTTTTTTTAAGAATATATAAGAGTAAAATAAGGCTATTTCCCTTTTTAACCTACTGTTGTCTACTAGAAGGTCTTTTATATATTTCTTTTTTTCTATTTATAGCTACAGAACTAGCAAAAACACCAAGAAAAAATATATCATTCAATTTGAAGAATGATCCTGAAATTATGATAAACATTCCTCAAAGTAGCAAGGGTAAGATTTTACCTCAGTTCTTTAAAGAGAATTTTCATAGTTGTTTCAAGTTATAGTATGTTATTTTTTTCCCTTGTCATAAGTGCATTTTTATATATTCTTTTCTATTCTGAAAATTCATTTAACAAAATGCAGTTAGTACCTTAACCTGTGTGCCTTAGTATACCTATATTTAGCTATCAATAAAAGGGGAAAATACCTATGCTGATTGAAACTGTGCGAACTGGCAGGGCCAACTAGAACAGACTTAAAATCTTCTTGTCATTTGCTTCATGTAGCCAAATGTTCATCAAAGATTTGCTTTCGCAAATATTATTTGAAATAGAGCTTTGGGGGTTTGGAAGTCTTACCATTTTTGGAGAATTGTGGAGTAGTTGTTTTTGAGTGACTCATTCTAATTAGGTTAAACAGCATACTTTTTAAATAATGAAAAATGAAAAGGGCTCCATTTTTTCTTGTTACATCAATGCTAAAGAAATACAGGACATAGCTGTAACTAATGGGAATAATTATATAATTAATAGTGGCAATTTAGCCTCTAGTGGAGATGCAGTTAATTGAGAATTCAGTTTGTATAGTATGTGGTGGCTTCTGGGTAGAAACTGCATCTTTGCTTTTAATGAAACTAAACTGTGATGAAAAGTGAAGTATTTATAGTAAGTAATGGATTTTGTTTCATTCTTTAGGACATTCATCTTCAGACAAAGTTCACTTGAAGGTAAGCAATTGATTAAAAACAAGCAAAAACCTTAGTGTTACAAAATAAGACATGATGAAAAATATCAATTTCATCTCTTAATTTATATAGTGCTTTATAATTTATAGGTATTTGCCAATTAAATACCTAACATAGATAAAGAATCTGAGATTTGGAGAGGTAAAGTGACTTGTCTAATTGTATCTCACTAGGAAGGAGAAAAACTGGAAAATGAAGTCAGGCCTTTTGGGTGAGCTGTCATGCCTTTTCTGTGTCAGAACTATCCCTGAGTATTTTCAATTAGTAGACTGGCCTAGAAACTTTATGATTTGGTTTTGTTTTGCTTTTGTACATAACGTTCTGTTGTTTCTTGGGGGATTGGTCCCAAGATCCATTAAATCTCATAGTCTAAGCTTTTACAACTTAACATTTGAAAACTAAGTCGACTTTGGTAAATTTATTCCAGGGTGGCTAAAGGAAATGACAATTTGTATCCTCTCCTTTGTGTTTTCTGTGTTTTTTTGTTTTTTGGTTTTTTTTTTCCATTATGCCTTGTCAAGTGGCCCTGCCCGGATGTGGGCAAGCCCAGACGGACAAGGACAAATCCAAGACAATGAGTATGTAAGTGGTGAGTGTGTCCAGGTCTGGATAACCATAGATTTAGACAGGCCATGAGTTGTATACAGGCTAAGTTCAGAGAACCCTTTGTAAGAATGTGAGTATAGACACTGAGGGCTATGGTTATGGCCTGTGCAGGAATGTTCTATTTAGGCAGTCTAGGTGTGGGATTAGACATGTCAGAGCCTCCTTTGTCTTTAATAATGCTTCTTTCCTGTAATATATCTTGTGTATTATATTGCTATAGAAGAGTAAAACTCATTCCCATAATCCACTCAATAACTTAGATATATTGACAAGTTCTTTTTCAGGTTGTGGATCACAACACATTAGTGGGTCATCTTCATTCCCCAAGGGACATGAGAAATCCTGTTAATCAAAGCTAATATACCTATTATGGTAAAACAGCATCACTATGACAGAGTCTTAACACGCTATCTTAGACGGGGGAGTTCAGGAGCAAATGTATATGGGAATTGGGGATCTGAGCTCAAGAGGTTTAAGACGCATCATCAATATGGGGAACTGATCAATGTTAGATGAAATTCGTGACATATTTTAGGATTGGTCAAGGAGAGAGCCTTAACCAACGTCTTAATAAGAAAATCATTGTTTGATAAGCAAACTCTTTCATCTGATGAGTAATTATTGTACCAATGGGAGAGCAGATTGCCCAAATGAGAAAACTATTGAGATAAATCATTTGGCAAAAATTTCTGTAACAAACAGTGAAGTTATTTATTAGTTTATAGCCCTATCTTTTTGAGCAAGAATTTTCTGAAATTGTTATTTTGACAGAAGTGTTCTCAGACCTGATAATTAAGCTATATGGATACGAATTGTCTCAACTCTCAATTTTAGATTCAATTTAGTAGGACATGACCTGCAGTTTAAAAAGTGAAATAGAATGATATAGACAATATCTATTTTGTAACTATTATTTCATTATAATTTGTTTTAGTTGTGTATGCACATATGTACTGGATCAAGATGGCAAAATGTAAAAAAATTTTTGAGGATCTAGATCAAAAAAGTTTGAAACAATGTAATATACTTCATAAACCCATTGGGATCAGCTCAGTTATTACAGTACTATTCTTAATGTCCCAAATCAAAATTTATTAACATTTGTAACTAGTACCAACAACCTAGCACAAGACAGCAGACTTAAAATTTTTGTCATATTTTCATATTGCCCAAAAGCAAAGATATTTTATCTTTTTATTAGTACCATTAAAAATTAACATTTAATGAGTGATGTCGGAAGCATGATGGCATGAGGGATCTCCCCGATCCCTCCCCCTTGAAATTACAATAATCTGAACACCTACAATCCAACAAAAAACACCCAACCTGCAAATAAGCACGTTTAAGAGATCTTCACATCAGAGCGTCCTAAGATGGGCCAATCATATGAGTCAGGAGGTGGAATAGGAGAGAGGAACAAAGGTGCTGTAGAATGCAGCCCAGAGCTCCCCGCAGGGTAAGGAGTGAGGGGAGTTACACTGCTGTTTCTTGGCTCTTTGAAGCCCCGAACAGCCCTACCTGATCCCAGTGATCAAGCAACAGATCCCAGTGATCAAGGCAGAGAGCAGGGCAGATACTGAGCGCAGAAGGGGACAACTATGTCTTAGCAACCGCCATTGCCAGGCATAAAGTTGAGTCACTGGAGCCTGGCCACCTCCCCCTACCATCCCAGAGCATGCCCTCCCCCTTCCAGAGCTAGCACCCAGCTCCAGAGGAATTTGCACAACCAGAACTGAAACATACACTGCAGCTGGTACCAGTGACAGGGATGGCGATATAGAAGCAAAAGAGCTGAAACCCAAGGGGCAGGATTACTAGAAGAGAAGCAGCCATACATAGTGCTGGCCTCTCCCAATCAACCCCTCCCCAACCGAGGCAGGCAGATTTGGGAGGAAACAACAGAGCATTGCAACTGTCTATTGGAGCAGTAACAGGGCCCTTTCACAGGCTCAGATCTCCATCACCCTTCACATCCTCTCATGGGGATGGAGCCTTGGGACCAAAGCGACCTGGTCACAGAGGAGACATACACCTCACCAGAGAATAAAGGCCATTTTAACCTCAAAGCAGAGATCCAGGAAGCTTGGGCACCACCTACTGGAAACCAAAAGAAAAAACTCTTCTTATCAACCTGCTAAAGAGAGATCACTATGTAATAAATTAAAAAAAAAAAAAAAAGTACATTTCCGTTAATGCCCTGGTGGAGAAATAGTCCATCAAACAACACGAACAATCAAAGTGACAAAGCAGCTCAGAAATAAAATGAAAGATCTCCAGAAAATAAGCTTAAGAATATAGAAATATGCAATTTTAATGACAGAGAATTCAAGATGGCACTTCTGAAAAAGCTCAATGAGATGCAAGAAAATTCTGATTGACAGTTTGAAGAACTTAGAAATAAAATCAGTGAACAAAAGGAATACTTTACCAAGGAGATTCATACTCTTAAAAAGAACCAAATAGAACATCTGGAGAGAAAGAACTCATTAAAAGAGATCAAGAATGAAATAGCATGCTTAGGAAATAAAACTGACCAGATGGAGGAAAGAATTAGTGATACTGAAGACAGACCATGGATATGATGCAGATGGAAGAGGAGACTTAAGAGTGAAAAAAATGATCAGAAAAAGCAATATAAGAATAATGAGTATACCACAAGAAAAAGAAAGGTAGACAGGAACAGAAAGCATATTTAAACAAATAGTCGACGAGAATTTTCCAGTCCTATGGAAAGAACTGGATCCTCGAATCCAAGAAGCAAACAGAACACCTAATTATCTCAACCCAAAAAGGCCTTCTTCAAGACATATTATATTAAAATTGTCAAAAATTAATGACAGGAAAAATCCTCAAGGCAGCCAGAATAAAGAAAACTGTAACTTATAAAGGAAAACCCATTAGATTATCATTGAAGGGAGTTATTCTACCTGAAACAATAAAACAAAATATATAACCTAGTAAGATAACGAACAGGCACACAGAAAAAGGAGAGTGCAACCTTTATTAAGAACTGGGTATTATAAGTTTAAATATTACATAATGGTTAAAGGTCAAAAAGAAAAACACTTTAAAGAGGTAAGACAACAGCTACTGCAACCTAGAAATGAACATACAGCATAAATAGGAATAATTAGAGACAATAAAAACAAAGAGGGAGAGGGTTAGGATCTAAATTTAAATTTCCAAAGGGCAATTTGAGATAAGGTGCACACAGAAGAAAAAGGACTACTCTATATATAACTTTTTTTTACATAAACTTAATGGTAACCACACACAAAATCTAGAACTGAGACACATAACATATAACAAGAGGGAACAGAGGGAAAAACCATAAAACACCACCAAATTAAAATAATAGACACACAAGGACAAAGAACCAATGGAGACACCGAGCTACCAGGAAACAAAAGATAAAATAGTTATAGGAAAACTCCAATTTCAATAATCACTAATTGTAAATGGACTGAACTCACCAATAAAAAGGCACAGAGTGGCAGATTGTATCAAAAAACAAAACCCAACCATATGCTGCCTACAAGAGATACATCTTAACTGCAAGGACAAACAGATTCAAAGTGAAAGGATTGAAAGTGATACTCCAAGCAGTTGGCATCCAGAGAAAAGTGGGAGTAGGCATACTTATATCTGACAAAATAGACTTCAAGATAAAAAAGGTAATGAGAGATAATGACAGACGCTTCATAATGATAAAGGGGACCATATATCAATACATAACACTTATCAATGTATATTCTCTTAATCGATACATAATCTCCTAATATGTCTGTTGGCCATTTGTATGTCTTCTTGGAAGAAGTGTCTCTTCAGGTCTTCTACCCATTTTTGACTGAAAACAAAATATTTTTCTTTTCTAGCCTCTCAGATCCATCATTAATTTTCATGTCGTCATTATTAGCTGAATAAACTACATTGCTTTTTTATTTTTAAACAGAACAGTGATAAAAGTGAATTTCTGTCAACCACACCTCGTCGTCTAAGGAAAAGATTAATAGGTATGTACTCTTTACACTGAGTGTTTATAAAAAGCATGTAAACAAAGGCAATATGATTAAGTATATAGGATCTAGCAGACTGCTTGCCTTTTATCTTTGGTTAACCACTAATAGAGACCTCTCTGTGCCTCAGTTTTTTCATTTGCAAAATAGGGATAATAATAGTACCAGCCTGAGTTGTTTTGAGATTAACTGAGATAAAGGATGTCAAAAGTTTTAATGTAGAGCTTGACTTCGTTACATGCTTAACAGGTGTTAGCTATTATCATTTTTTATTCTTGTAAATACTTATTGCTATTTCTTTTCATGAAAAACAGAATATGTTTATGTTCTCAACTAAACTGTAGATTCCTTTAAGGTGAGAACTGTATCTTATATTTTAACTCCAATACTTAGCACTATGTCTTTTACATTCTAGTCAGTGGCTATTGAGGTTAGTTAAAATGTCTCTCCAACAAAACAATAAGCTTTTTAGTTTGTTTTGAGACAGTTGGAAGTAGTTCTATTGATTTTTAGAAATTTTATAATGAAATAGTTTTAAATATTCATAGTTGTACTGAATGCTATACAAAGCTAAGTAAACATATGGGTCCTGCCTTCTGGAAAATTAAAAATGTCTGTAGATTTTTAAATATTTAACTTGGGGCAAATGACTTGTTGACTTATATTTCAGAAAGATGTCAAGTTCTTTCTTGGGGCCCTTGACAATAATATTAGCTAACATTGTTAAATCCATGCTGTGGCCCTTTTTCAAGGTATAGACTTCATAGAACTGTTAATACTACACTATTAATCAACATAAAAATGGTAATACTAAATGATTGAATATCTGAAGCAATAAAAGATGACATGTGCAATTATGATTATTACTATTTTATGTCAAATACATCCCATGTCCTATGTTTCCTCCTTACCCTGAAGAAGAATCATTTCTAGAGCAAGGATGAAATTCCTCTTCCTTCTCAATTACCACCAAACATATATATTTACATGTATGATGTATATATGTAAATAAAGTGGAGATTTTTTCTGGTACCTCCAACTACTTCTAACCCATGCATCTGCCATGGGCAGCAGTCAGTGCAAATCTGAATCTGCTAAGCTATATATGCCTGCAAAATCAGGCCCCCCACCCTTTTTTTAGCATCTATATTTGTTATATGCTGACTGTTGATATTCTGAAATATACCTTTTGTTTAAAGTAAATATAGTGATTTGGTTAAAGTTATTTCACTGATATTTTGGAAGTGAACTTTTTATAATAGTTTTATACTTATTTTGTTGAATGTAAAACTAGTTTTATTCTTACTTTATGAGTGTTAAACTAGCTTTATTAGTTTTGGGGAGTGGCGGCGTTGGCTGTGGTTTGTTTAAAAATGTAATTGTATGGAGTGTGCATATGAATTAGTAGTGCTTAACAATAGTGGCTACCACTTATTGAATACTATATCACTTAGAATGGCATTTTCAGTAGGTAGCAATAAAAAATTCTACAGTAGTGGCTTAAGCTATAGACATTTAAGTATCTCATGTCATAAGAAATCTAGGGATACACAGTTCCATGGTTGATCTAGTGACTCAACAATGTCATGAAGGACTCAGATTCTTCCTATTTTTTTTGCTTTGCCACCAACATTTTTCATCTTTAGGTTTGATACTTCATATTGCAAAACGACTTCCATAGCTTTAAACTAAGGGTATAAATATGGGGCTTTCCTTCCATTCGGGAGGAAAATCTTTCTCAGAACCTTCCAGCAAATTTTCCTTCAAATTTCACTGGTAAGAGGGTTACGTCGCCCACCCTAGTTGCAAAGGAGGCTGGGAAACCAAGTATCTGGCAAAGGAAAAGACGATTACTATGATTATTTATCCCTTTGGGTGGAGCACATTGCTACATTTTACAAAATTGGAGTTCTGTTAGCAAGGAAGAAGGAAAGAGGATGGTATTAGGTATGATTGACAGTTTCTGCATGTCAGGCATTGTTAATTGCTTTATATACATTTCACTGTAATCTTCACAGTGGTTTATTAAATTAGGCACTATTAGCCTCATCTGATAAGTGAGGAAACTGGTGCTCAGAAAACATAACTAGCTCTGGTAAAATCATCAGCAAGAAATGACAAAACCAGAAGTCAAACTCTCTTACTTCAAAGCCCACATTCTTCCTAATACCCCACAATGCCTCTCTTGTCAAACTGTCAAATTTTCCCAATTGCATTTTTTCCCCACAGTTCCAAGGTCTCATTCTGACAGTGAAAGTGAATATTCTTCTTCTAACTCAGAGGATGATGAAGGGGTTGCACAAGAATACGAAGAGGACACTAATGAAGTCATATTGAGCCAAAAGATTCAAGCTCAGAGTGAAGTAGTTTCAGCTCCTGTTTACAAAGAAACACCTTCTAAGAAAATAAAAAGAGAGAAAACAGTAAGTGAAGAGAGAGACTTAAACCTTCAATAAATTTGTGTAATATCTCAAAGATAAGCTTCGCTACGAGAGGAAATCCAAATGAGGCACTCAACATATTTTTTCCTTTCACTTTTCTCTGTTTTCTTAGCCTTCCACGTAAATTCCCATATGTATTTGTGTCCATTTTGGACTTTCTATCTTGGCCTGTCTGCATCCCTATTTATGTAACAATACTATAGTATATGTGAAAGGTGACATCTCAATTCAGTTGTATAAAAAAGAGCTTTTAAAAATTAAAAATTTTGATTGGATAACTGGAGGCAAGACTTCTCAGTATACACCTTCTTATACAGTTCATCTTTGTAACATTGTTGATGTTTTCAAGTCAGTGTGAATAATAAATGATGGCTATGGATCCATGCTGAGCTGTTTGGAAGAACACTGCAGATACCATGATTTGAGAAAAGGCTCATTATCTTGGTGTTCTGTGTAAAGCTTCAGAGCAGTCTAGGAAGCCTATTGCTTGAATGGCTTTGCATCCCTTCCTTACTGCCTTGGAGGTTAGCCCTGCCCCAAATCAGTAGAACTTGTATGAGCCCATTTACTGGAATAGTAGGCAAGTCTTTTTTTTAGCTTGCTGTTGGTCTTCCTCATTTTCACAGTACTTCAACTGTACTAATATTTAAGAACGTGCTGGGAAATGTGTGAAGCAAAACAAAGTTTCTGGTATGTAAAACCCCTCTTTTTTTTTTTTTTTTTTTTTTTTAAAGTCTAAATGGAAATTATATGGTGAAACTTAGGAATTATTTTAGGGAACAGACAACTTCAATCTAGCCATTTCTTTAACTTTTATGGTTCTAAGAGTTACTCAATTTTATCACTAGATTTAAATTTGCTTGTTCCAAAATCTGTGTTGTTGCTTCAGATAGAAAATATTGACTGCCAAATAAAAAATTTCACATATCCTTTTTTATGCTAATATTACTGTCTAGTTTTGATGTAATATTACTGTGTAGTTTTGATGTATCTGAAACTAAGAACTGACTTTGTTCTATTCACTTTCAGAGTGACTTAGTAGAAGAATATTTTGAAGCTCACAGCAGTTCAAAAGTTTTAACCTCTGATAGAACACTGCATAAATTAAAGAGAACTAAACTGGATCAGGTATGTTGCAAGGAATGTTACTTACAATTTTTCCTTTTTGCAAGCTGAATAATATACTACGTAAGCAGCAAATTTGAAGAGTAAATAAGCAGAATTATTGTCCTGATCTAATGAAACAAATTAATGTAATGTAACTATTACATATTTTATTATATAAATGCTAAATGGTTCACTGGATTAGAATTCTATTTGACATACTATAGTTATACTTTTTTCCCCTTATTCATCATTTTCCCCTTATTCATCATCAAATCACTTCAGAATTTATAATAACCATCAGGGACATAGTGTATTTGATATCCATGTGCCATTAATCTCTGTTCTTCATTTAACCCACATATTCATTGAACCTCACACTGGTTATAAAACAAAGACCTTATTCTCTTAGTTACACAACTTTGTGAAAAACAGGGTTTTCTGCTTCTTGATATTATGAAAAACCTGCTCAGTGAAGTATATCCTATGGTTCCAGTATCTCATTTTATAAGAAATACTATACAGTTGTACTTGTTAGGCTTTTGACTGCTACTTCCCAAAGAGAGGAGACAGAACTATCTGAGAAAATCTTTCAGTAGAATTGGGTTTGATAATCTAAGTTAAGAGAGCGTTATTGGCTCACAGAGTGTCAAGATTTTATTATTCTCTCAAGCTAGATTTTAGTGCAATTTTCTAAGGTGTACAGAGCTTTTGACAGAATTTTCAAATTGCAGAAAAGAGGAAAGAGAGTATAGGGTAAGCTTGTATGACTGGGATGACATGGTGCTGTGTGGTTGTTTTTGTTTTTGTTTTGTCACCTGGCTTTCTGGTACTGAGACTCAGATGAGAGACTAGCCGAAAACATGTATCAAGAAACCAAGTTCTTCCAAGGAAGAGATGGCACTAACATCTGCTTAGCGCATATATTTTTATACAAGCAACATGAGAGAAGGATAAATGGATCTAGGGTCAAAATAGGACTACGTAGGACCTAGAGTCAAATGGACCTTTAGGAGAGTGTAAGAAACACCTGTTACCGATAATGAGGGACGGGAAGGCTTTTCAGTGATTGTGGACATGGCTAACCAATACAATCTCAGTAGCATGTGTCAATTTATTTCTCATGTCTGTGGGTTTGCTGGGAGTTGTCTGATCTAGGATTTGTTCTATATGTCTCTCTTCATCCCTGGACCAGCAGGCTAGTTGAGGCATGTTCTTTTCATAACAATGTCAGATGTAAGAGAAGTGAAAAAACACAAAACCTTTTAGAGCCTAGGCACCAGACACTGGGCTAAGTGTCAGTTCTGCCTCACTCTAGTGGCCACGGCAAATCGCATGGCTGAAAGCAAAGTCAAAGAGGAGGGAACTAGACTCCACCTTGTTAGTGGGAAAGACTACACAGTCATATGGCAAAGGGTGTGGATATGGGGAGTGGGGAAGTTTGGAGGCCAATAATGTTATTCTCCACAGATACTAAAATTTGAAATGAAAGTTTATAGATGAGATAATATTTTAGAGTTCACACTCACGTGTGAGTATGCTCTGGTAATCCAGTATAAATGAGTACTGGAAATGATTGCTAGTAACTTCATGACTCTAAACTTCAGAAGGAATGAGAGAAAAAAATTTTAAACTACTTAACAGTTTTACTTAAAACTTATTCTCTTTAATTATGTGGATAAATAAAAACTGTACAGGCTAGAGTGCCTAGAATGTTGATTGCAACTCTAGTCTTCAGTATTAATAGACTGTTGTACTTAATCAGAAACAGACTCACAAATATAGAGGACAGTCTGGTGATGGCCAGAGGGGAGGAGAAGTGGGGGGCTGGGAGAAAGGGGTAAAAGGATAAAGAAATACAAATTAGTAGTTGATAGATGGTCACCGGGATGGGGAGCACGACATAGGGAATGCAGTCAGCATTAATGTAATGGCTAGGTGGAGAGCCAGAGGAGAGAAAGAGCCATCAGGGGGATTGTTTTCTAAACTATATAAATAAATGTCTAACCAATGTACTGTATACTTGAAACTAATTAAATTTAAAAAATATTATACTTAAAGGGTAGAATCATGAAAACGTGGTAGAGCCAGGATAAAAATGCACATACAGCTTTTTACTAGAGTTTTCATTTCAAAAAATGAGCTATATTTGATTCACCAGCAAGAATTTCCAAGTTTTGGGTACAGGGCAATATACCTTCCTCAGTTTATTTACATTATATTTTTAAAAACTTTGTGATACTTATCAAAGTTAAAGGATTTATTAGGAATAGCTTTTGGAGGAGCAGTGATAGAAGTTTATTTTATTAATAATAATGGTAAACTATAAAGAACATTTACTGTTTTCTAAGAATTAATGTTGAATTGTTACCCTAAGCTTTTACATTTTTTCCAAATCCATAGGTTTTTAAAACTGGATTTGTTGTCAAAGCTGGAAGGCAGGTTTAATCATCTCCTTATGGTAACAATCTTTTTAGAAATTAAAGTCTTACAGTTGGAATTTATAATCATGTGTATGGATCTAGAAAAAACTCTTTACTGTTATCACATATTTGTAATAGTGTTAAAAATTTTAAAAATTTTTTAATTAGAAAAAACATTTAAATCATGTTTAAAATACTATGTGTATTTAGTTGATGCACTTATTACCAAACTGATTAAAGTAATATTTCCACTAATGGCCTCTTCTAACCCTTACCTCTAAGAAAATATTTTTCGTTTGGATTGATTTGATGTATGTTGAGAGTGATTTTGTTCCTCTCTCTTCCTTTTTTTTTTTTTTTAAAGCAAACTTTATGTGACTTATTGAGCAAGGTTCCTCCTTCCTTTTCTACTGAACTTAAACAATTAAATCAACAATATGAACAATTATTTCATAAATGGATGTTGCAGTTACAGTAAGTACTATCATCATTGCACACCCTTGTAAAATAATAATATATATTTATAAAGTATGTTAAAATCAAGCAGTTTAACATTTAATTTTCTTTTTACAATGAACTTCATATATTTTTTCATGTAAAAATTTGAACAATAGGTGTTTTTCCAATTTTATGACTCAAATGTAGAAATATCATTGTATGGCTCTTCTTAGAAATTCTACATTTTTCAAGAAATTTGTCTTTTCTAAGTTTATCAAATGTGAAAGCCATTGGTAAGATAAATATCTTTTCTTAGAATAAGTTATATTTGTATTTTTAAGGAAGTGTTTGAAATGGATGCTAATAAAAATATACTTAGATGCTCACAGTTACATAGTCACTGGGGTAAATAAGAAGGCAGGTCCGATAAGCAGTAGGAACATAGAAATTGCCACAGTTTTTCCCAGTTGATCCTAGTTTTCTTTTGCCAATGAAAGTCAAAGTGTTGTGCTAGTAAGAGAATGATTATCTTCCTTGCTAGGATCTTGGCTGCTTTCAGTAACTATTTAGGGATCTGTTCATTATAAATTTAGAAAGCAGCACTTCTCTCTAATCCCATTCCCCAGTCCAATTCCTCCTCCTTCCAGTATGTCAACTCCAATAACTTGGATTCGCTTTGCGTCCTAGCCTAGACCTCATAGTCAGCTTTTTCAGTGGAATTGCTAGCTCTCTGAATTCTTTCGCTTCTTTTTTTCTGCTGCTTCTATCTTGTCGATCTCTACCTTTGGTGGTTATTTATCTCCTGTTCTTCTATTTCTAGGCTATCCTGCATTGCTACAGAGCATTGTATAAATACTGTTTCTGATTGACCTCCATAAACAATCATGGAGTTGAACTTTAGCTTGGGCCCTTGTGCTTGGTGTTCTGGGCCATCTCATTCACTCTCTTGGCTTCGGTTGCTTTTTGAATATGAATTAAGTTCCATAAATGTATCTACAGCCCAGCCCAGGCAAGATCACACTCTTCAGCAGCAGACATGGCTATTTGAATGTGTATTGGAGGTTTCCATGTGGATGTCCTATAAATTATTCAATTAACATAATATTTTACTTATTGAAACTCATCATTCCCACCTACGCCTGCAACCTAGCATAGCGAACGTCACCCCATTTATGTGGTTGCCTGTGCCAAAAAACTGTTATTTTTAAATATTCCCTTTCCCTCACCTTCCACATCTAATCATTACTCTTCAGATACTATTGACTTAACATATAAAGTTCTTGACACCTTACATTTTTCTCCATAACACCTAATTCAAGTCAGTTTTGTCCCTCCTCCCTATCCATTCCTCCCATTCAGGTACTGTGATCTTCTTAAAAAGATCATGTTACTATCTCATGTAAAACCTTTCCGTTAACACCTGACTAGTTACTTATACATGGTCATAATCCTTGGAATAAAATCTACTTGTGTTAGTTGACTTAACAAGAACCTTTGTGACCTGGCCTCTGCTTACCTTTTCACTTTAATCTATCAATCAAAACTCTGCTTCAGCCTGAAAAACTTTTTACTGCCTTGTACCTACCAATGTTCTCCCTTTACTTATGGGCACCTGTTGCTTGAAAGTAATATGAGCGGGGGAGAAAGCTACTAAAACTGGAACTATAAGCTTGGTGTACAGACACCAAAGCTACTAAAACTGGAACTATAAGCTTGGTGTACAGAACTTGGTGTACAGTTCTTCCTGTATTCTTTATAGGCTTAAATTAAGGAAACTGGTTGATTATAAACTGGTTGGCAATAAGAGTTACTGAACTTTAATTTCATGAATGCTGTCTTTCCTAACAGCTTGGGATTCAACATTGTGCTTTATGGTTTGGGTTCTAAGAGAGATTTACTAGAAAGGTTTCGAGCCACCATGCTGCAAGATTCCATTCATGTTGTCATAAATGGCTTCTTTCCTGGAATCAGTGTGAAATCAGTAAGTTTCAAAAATGTCAAAAATGTTAAAAAAGGAACATTATATCTCCTGCCATTCTATACCCCCATGTTAATGGGGATGCTATTTCTCATTCTGGAGCAACTTTTTTTTTTTTAGTTATCACACTAGTAGAATTGCATAGTGCTTAAGATCATGTGTTTGGACTCAGGGTTCTAGCTTTGAATCTCCATTTTTGAATTTCTTACTTTGTATCTGATAATGAATTAAATCTTATGAAAAGTTTAGCTTTGTGTACTGCACCAAATACTAACAGTACTTCTCTGAAGGACAGGATTATGGGGGACTTCAGTTTTATTATGCTTTTATGTCACTTCAGTACTCTAAAAATAATAAAAATATCAGTAGTACTTTGTAGTTTTGTAATATATTTATAGATCATTTTTTCTCTATATGCTCATATCTCTTCATCATTTGAAAATTAACTTAAACTTTTTAGGTGATGGATATTAACTAATGTAGTATTCCTTTCTAAAAATGCCCTTAATGTTTGTGTCCTGTTTCTTTTGATAAATGTTTTCTAGTGTTTCTCATATTGTTTTTTTTTTTATGCTACCCTCTTATCTTTACATCTTTGCTGTTCTTCCCTGTTTCTTTTAATGGTAACTTATACAAAAAATAAGTATAGGTACACTTAAGTACCAGTAGAATTTTTTAAGTGAATTTTCATACTTGATGGGAAATCTAAATTCATTTTTAATTTATAAAAAAAGGATTGATTTGCTAGTTGTATTTATCTTATATGACAGAATAAGTTATAATCAATGTATTTCTTGCGCTTTTTGATATAGATCCTGAATTCTATAACAGAAGAAGTCCTCGATCATGTGGGTACTTTCCGCAGTGTACTGGATCAGCTAGACTGGATAATAAACAAATTTAAAGAAGGTAACATGAAGTAGATACTCTAGTTTTAGGATGAAGCCAAGCATATGCTTCTATTTATTTGTGTATTACTATACACAAAAATGGAGATTATTTTAATAATGGTACTTTTTCTCAATGCTGATTTAGATTTCTCTAAAACATTTTTTTTTTTAATCTGTGAACTTTTCATGTGAACTTCACTAGTTATAACACTCACTCTTATCTGGAACTTTTATAACCCAAAGCCTCTTATTTCAGAATAATTTTCAGGTTTTGCTTGGTGAGTGAGAAGTGCTTCTAGTTGATGGGTACATCTTTGATAGTTTTATGTTTAATGTTTTCATAAAATATTCTTATTTATTCTAAGTAAATATCACTGGATTTCAGTGGTTTTATATACTAAAATCTGGGGTAGAAAAAACATTTTTTGTTATTTTGGTGTGAATGTTTTATATGAGCATTTCAAAAAATTAGAAATAAATTTAGGCTCTAACGATTGTCATTCAGTCATTGCTTAAGAATTAAAAGGAGTAGTTGGTTATGCTTATTAAATGATTTGATGGATAATTTCAATATTGTTTTATGTTCATTAAAATAGGTGCCTAAGTTATTTCATTTACACGTGTTATATTACACGTTATATATGATATGTAATATAATAACTACATATTTATATAAAATGTATTTATAATTATAATTTATATAAATATTTAACATACAAGTATGTATATATTTATATAATTTTAATTATATATTTATAATTGCAATTCCATATAATTATATGTGATTTAAATATATAGTATGTATTCTATATTTTATATATACTATAAATATACTTTATGTATTCATATATAATTTATATGTTTATATATAATTTAAATACTATTGACTGTGGTGGCTTCTAGAATTCAAAGAACCTTGGGCTTTTAAAATGTGTCATCTCAGCATCTTTGTCATTATATTGTCTCATTTGTCTCTCTACCCCCAGTGCAACAGAAATTTGCTTATTCTCTCTAAAGGCTCATCCTCCATCATAAATGCCAAATTTCTCATTTCCTGTCAACTCATGAGAGACTTACGGTGGCTTTTAAATGTGTACAAGACTTCTTTCATCTTAGGAAAAGCAATTACTTGTTTCTACTGCTCTTACACACTATTTTATTTCCCTATTTCAATATGATTTTAGAGTTTCTGAAGACATGTCCTGCCTTCTCCTTTTTACCTGTTACCTTCTTAATTCCTTGCTTCTTTACTACCCAAACTGTATGCTTAAAGATCACCTGTAATTTCCTTTTTACTAAATAAGCCTCGGCTCATTCTTTATTTCGATCTTTGCAGTGTTCGATGGTATTGACACCTTTATCGTCTATATTCTTTCTTCATTAACTTAAGAAATTTTACTTCTCTCACTTTCCTGATTCCTTGATCAATATCCTAAGTCCCTCACCCTTCCTTTTTTTTTCTTTTTACTCTTTTAGCTTTTGTGATAATCAAGGTTTTTTATATTAACTCTTATTAATGTTTAGTGAGAACTTTCTTTTTTCTTTCTTTTTCTTCTTCTTCTTTTTTTTTTTTTTTTTTTTGGTGTTTCCCCTCCAGTCCCGCCTTGCAATTCAACATGCATAGATTCACCTCCAATCCAGTTATGCATCTTGCCTTATTTCCTATGCCTTATTAAAACTGCTTTCTTTATGGTCTGATTCAAGTGCTAAGCATTACCCTTAAGACTCTAAGCACACCAGTTCCTACTGATTCCCAATGAATTTTACTTTTTAAAAAAAGACTTTAATAATGTCTTGCCTATTTTTTGAGTGGTTGACATATCTTCTCAAATAAATTGTGTATCCCTAAGCAATAGTTATTTTGTCCTATACTACTTTGATAAATTCTTTAGTCCATAGGTTGTGTGTGTGGTAGGGACTTCACAAATACTCAGTGAAAATAATATTGAATTCTTTTTCTTTTCAGATTCTTCTTTAGAACTCTTCCTTCTCATCCACAATTTGGATAGCCAAATGTTGAGAGGAGATAAAAGCCAGCAAATTATTGGACAGTTGTCATCTTTACGTAACATATACCTGATAGCATCTATTGATCACCTCAATGCTCCCCTTAGTAAGTTAAACGTTACTATTTTTTTCTTGAGATTTCAGTCTTACAAAATTTTCTTAATGTTGTAAGTCACAACATTTTCAGTGTTTTTCAGTACAATTTTCCTTTTTTGCATGTTTAAAGACACAGATTGCCAAAAATATAGGTCTCCTCGGTCTGACTTAGAACATAATTCTTGGAAATAAAAATTCAGATTCTAAAGGAGGTGTTTTACACCTAAAGTTTCATGAAGGAGAGGAAACCCAATTATTATTTTGGTCTTTTTCTACACTTCGTGGTATTGCAACATTTATTTAGTGTGATATAATTCAGGTATAATTCTACAGAACAAAATGTTAAATTATTAAATTTTTTAAAAGAGTGCCTTGGTAATGTTAATATATTTTAACTTTTTAACTTGTATTTAATATACCAGTAAAAATTCAAATGTTGATTGATAATGAAGTTAGATCGTCATGTACTGATTTGGATGGGGAAATGGCAAAAATGAAAATTTTCAAGATTCATTTTTTATTTCGTGGTTTTTTATTTTCTCCTAGAGTAGAATCTAATAACATGGCAATATGAAAATAATTAGTAATTTTTGTTTTCTTTGATCATGTGCTCTAGTGTGGGATCATGTAAAGCAGAGTCTTTATAACTGGCTCTGGTATGAAACTACTACATATAGTCCTTATACTGAAGAAACCTCCTATGAGAATTCCCTTCTGGTTAAACAATCTGGATCACTACCACTTAGTTCCCTAACTCATGTCTTACGAAGCCTTACTCCTAATGCAAGGTAAGAATGAAAACCATAGTTTCTTTTTTAAGAAACTCAGTACATTTTAAGACATGCACTCCTAGGTTTTAATGGTAATACTAAAGTTCCTACTTAGTCTGAAGGATTAAGAGAAATAGTAGTGATAATACTTGCCAGTACTGGATTATGCAAGAGTCAAGAGTAGTCTACCAAATTGCCCAATAATAAAACAGTACCAATATTTTTTTTCTTAATAGATTTTTGTATTTTTGAATAAGAGTGTCTCAGTAGTCAGTGTGGAGGAAAAAGCAGAATCATAATGGATTTTACTTAAATTCGATGGTCCTTTTTAATGATACATGAACTTTATGATTCAAACATGGGTCCCTTTACATAAGATAGGTTATTTGATCCTCATAACCTTGCTAAGGTAGATAGTAAAGGGCACAGAAATTTTGATTCACATCTGCCTGGCTCTAAAGCTCATGCTTTTAAATATCATTATATAATGTTTCCAGTGAAGCACTTTTAATAGCCTAACCAAGAGATATATCTGAATTAATAAAAGCTAAGAAAAGCTGGGTATAATATAAGCCAGGAAAAAAATAAATAGTATGAAAATTAACCCGTCAAAAAAGGCTTTTAGTAGCAAACTACCCCCTAAGAGCATAGAATTCTATAACTATTTTTAACAAGATGAAATGTTGAAAAACAACAAACCTTGTTGAGAACAGATAATTGAGATTTGAATAAATGAAAAATATGGTGTTCTGGATGAGTGGACTAAATATAAAGGTAGCAATTTCTCCCAAGTTAGAAATGTATTAGAGCTATAAATTAATCAAATCATTAAATGATTTTGTGTTTTTGTGTGTGTTTTAAAAATTCAAAATTTCTTAAAGAACAAGCAGGTGAGACTAGCAAAGACTTTTTTTAAAAAGAGTGGTGAGACACTTCTGTACAAGATAGCATAATACTTTCACCCTTGAATTTATCCCCTTTTGTACCGAACACACTGCATAAATAAATATAAAACAACAAAAAAAACCAAGATCTTGCCTAACTCAACAATATGAACATCTCAGTGAAACAGAATCATAAAGCAGTGAGAGAACTGAAGCCACAGCCCAGCTGTGTTCTGGATCTAGAAGCAGCAAAATCCAGGATTTTGACTTATACGAAATAACAGTAGTGTGACAATATTACTTGTTGTCCAAACCCAGACATTTTTGTTCAAGATAAATACTAACCTGGACAGAATGGGAGATGTAAAACTTAAGAAAAGCATGTAAAACAAAATTATATAGTGTTCAAATTTGTGTATGTGTATATATACATACACACATGCACGCATGCACACACACACACATATATGAGTAAAATTTTTAAATGTAGGTGGATACGAAAAATTCCTAATTTAGGATAATATTGACCCTAGAAGAAGAGAAAGGGATAGGACTTGGGGTACACAGGAACTTTCAAATAGATTTGGGTTTTTTGCTAGCAATTTCTTTTCCATTTATTTATCTCTTTGGTTTTTTAAAAACTTTTTGTTTTGAAATCATCAAATTTCCAAGAGGCTGTACAAAATATGTACAGGAACTCCCAGCACCTCTTTCCCAACTACCACTGATACCAACATCTCACAGCACAATGTAGTATTAAAACCAAGAAACTAATGCTGGCCTGATCCAAAGAGTTTATTTAGATTTCACCACTGATACATGCACTTATTTGTGTGTGTGTGTGTGTGTGTGTGTGTGTGTGTGTGTGTGTGTGTGTGTGTGTGTGTGTCTGTCTGTGGTTAGTTCTGCAGTCATGTAGCATGTAGCTCTTTGTAACTACCACCACAATCAACTCAGCTATATCAGTACAAGACTCTCTCATGTTACCCTCAAATGCTAATGAATTTTATTACTTTATAAAGCTGTTTTTGTACACTTGAAAATAAGATTAGTATTGTGTTAATATTGAAATATATAGTAAATGGGTATCTAATCAAAATTTTTGATGGAATTGGGAACAGAAAAAGTCTTCATTCAGTTTTACTGCTAATGGATGGACTGTTGCAAGTTGCTACATATGAAGTTGAGGATCCATGCAATAGAAGTACTCAAAACATTAAATATGATATGTTTAAAACATTAAATATGATTGATACTAATGCAAATATTTTTTTAGTTTGGCGTACCTCAATGTCTGTGTGCTAGCCTTCCACACTTAAAACAATTTAAACTACTTTGAAATTTTGGTCCATTCTGCTAATTCTAATATCATTTAGTCTTTACTTGGTATGAATATGATTGATCAAAAATCTTTAACAAAATTTAGCTATGGAGTCAATGGCAGTACAGTTGACTCAAACAACAGTTTTGAACTACACGAGTCCACTTATACTAAGATTTTTTCAATAAATATGCAGTCGGCCCTCTGTATCTCCTTGTTTCGCATCCATAGACTTAGTCAACCACGGATTCCATCAACCAGGGATCGAAAACAATATTTGAATCCATGGTCGAGAATCTACAGATGCTGAGGGTCAACTTTATGCATGGTTCTGCGTCGTTTTGTATAAGGGCCTTGAGCATCCTCGGGTTGTGGTAGCCACAGAGGGGGATGTGAGGTGTTGGGACTTGAACCAGTCCCCCGAAGATACCAAGGGACAACTGGGAGTCAAAATTTATATTTGGATTTTCAACTACATGGGGGGTTGGCGCTCTAACTCCCACATTGTTCAAGGGTCAGCTATACTTAGTTATAAGGTGGTCCTTCAGATGATCCAAAATATGCTTATCGTAATTATTTTGTAGATTATCATAAAAATGAAAATGCACAGGTTTAAAATTTTTGCTATACCCAAGGACTCCTGGGAATTTTAGTTTATGTAAGACTTCTTCCAGTCCTGTAATTCTACTTGATATACTCCTACAGAAATAATTCAAAATATGAAGTAATGTGTATAATTTTATTTAACATGGGTTTAGTTTTAATAATTAAAACTGGAATTAATGTAAACATCCCAGTCCAGTAAGGAAATGGTAAATTTGTGGTACTCAAGTCATATCATAGATGAACAGCCATTAAAAATTGTTTAGGAAGAGTTTTTAAAGACATGGAAAAATCATTGATGGAAAAAGTGAGGGATAAAATCGTGCATACCATATATAAATGCATGAATTTATAGTTTCCATCCCGCCTTTTTCCACAAAGATTTTAGAAAGCAGCATATGCAAATATGATCTCCACATCAAATGTTAGTGGTTATTTTAGGGCTGTAGGATTGATATTTTCCTTGTTAGAGTTTATTATATATTCCAGGTTTTCTATAGTGAAATAACCTATAGTCTAAAAAATCTACTTCTAGATTTTCCTTAAAAGGAAGTAAAAGAGCTTCTTCTTTTTAAGTTGGCGAGGATATGTTCCTTCAAAAAAAGGAATAGAAGCTAATACAGATAGGCCAAGTATTTCATTCACATTTTTTTCATATATTTTACTTCTAGCTTTTTTATGTTAATGTTCTAGATTTGAATTCCTGTTTGTTTTTTGTTTTTTTCCTTAGGGGAATTTTCAGGCTACTAATGAAGTATCAGCTGGATAACCAGGATAACGCTTCTTACATTGGTATTCAATATTTATGATATTAAATTGTGTGACTTTTGTTTCACCCCATTAATCCTTTTTCTGGAGTCTAATGATCACACTGCAGTTTTTCACAGCAGTGAATAAATGGTTTGCTCTGTGATCAGTGTGTCTACCACATAGCAAATTTTGAAGCAGACCCAAAGATGCTCTGCTGCCAATGCAATCTGAAAGATGAACCCTGCTTGCTTTTTAAATTTCTTGTGCTAACCGTCGATGTGTGTCTACCAATTACCTGTATTTCTTTCATATGCTAGAGATTTGCTTAGGAGATTTTCTTCCTTTTGAGAGAAAATGTGTTAACTTAAATATTTTAATAATCATTCAGTTCTCATTATTTAATAGTTCTCTCTTTAAAAGTCAACTTTATGCACACTGTTTAAAACTGCCCGCAGCATTGTTATACTTGGTCATAGTTGACTATTTTCAACCAATCAGTTCTCTTTAAAAGATATAAACCACAGTGTATAACACTTAAGTATTTTCTAGTTTTGCTTCTTCCAGAGGTACTTTTTTAAAAAATCAGTACTTACTGCCTATTTTAACATACTGTGACCACAGCACTTTTTAAATTTATTCTTTGGTATGGATATTCATGTATAGGGTCATGTCTTAAATGCTGACTTATGTTCACATCTCCTTTTGACCTCTTCAGGACTTTCTTTTCAAGATTTTTACCAGCAGTGTCGGGAGGCATTCCTCGTCAATAGTGATCTGACACTTCGGGCTCAGTTAACTGAATTTAGGGACCACAAGCTTATAAGAACAAAGAAGGTAATGCTTTGCTATTGTAGCACTATATGCCTGGAATAGCATACCTCCTTTGCTTACGGACAGGTATTCCTTTGACTCAGATATGGTTATGATGGGTCACAGGGATCCATTTAGGCATTGTGCCATTTGTGTTGTGTAAAAAGAGGTAGAACTACTCTGTTTCAGAGCAGAGCAGAAAACCTAAGAGTTTAGTTCAGAGGAATAAGCCATTTGAAATATGAGTCAAATAATTATATTCCTTTCTCCCTCTCTTCTACGCCATTCATTAATCTGGTGTATATTTATTGAGCACTATCAGAAATTGCACTAGGTATTGGGATACAGTAGTAAGCTAACACCTTTTCTCAAAGAGCTTAAAGTTGAGTGGAGATGTACATTTTTTGAATAATTATACACATGTAAAATTTTACCTATAAGTCCTATGATCAGTAGGTATGTAGTTCTGAAAGAGCATATTAAAATAGCTGGATTGACTTAATTATGGATATCAGAAGAGACCACTGAGCTGAGATCTAAAGGAAGACTAGGAGATAACTCCTGAGACAAGAAAGGGAGGAGCATTCCAGGCAGGAACAGCATGTAAAGAGACCCTAGAACAAAAATGCAAGCATGGCACAAGATGAGTCTGAAAAGATAGTGATTTAAGGGTTAGACCATGCACAAATTTTAGGCTAAGTAAAAGATTTTAATCTTATTCAGAAATAACGAGAAGACGTGAAAAAAATTGTTGGCTATGGTATCAGAGTGGAATAGGGCAGAGTGGGATGGGGATTGCCAAAAGGGCATGCACAGGGACTAGTGAGGAAGGTGTTAATAGCCTGGGTGAGATAATGGTAATTTGGTCTAGGGTGAAGAGAGAAAAGTGATTGGATTCAAAATATACTTAAGAGGCACAATTGACAAGAATTGATGATAGATTGGATATGGAAACCAAGGGGAAAAAAGTGTCAAGAGTAATTCCTGGCTTCTGGCTTGCATAACCAGAGATGGTGGGATCGTTGGATAAGAAGCTGGAAGAACAACTTCTTTGGGAAACTGATCATGAGTTCATGTTCTTCATGTGCTTGGACTTACTGTTTGAGGTTTGAGATTTCTGATTTCCAAGTGGAGATGTCAGCTAGGGAGTTGGATTCCTGCAACTAGAAGCTAGAGGAAAGAGCAAGGCTAGAGGTGCAAGATTATAATTCCTACATATTTAGGTTGTAACTGAAACCAAGTATTGGTGGGACTACCTAGAGGACATATAGTGAGAATGGAGGGTCAGGAATTAAGCCTAGAAGTGTGACATTTAATAGCCAAGTAAAAGATAAGCCTGCAAGATGAAACAGCCAGAGAGCCACAAAGAAAACCAGGATATGATGTCACAGAAGCCAAGAGAAGCATATTTTAAGAAAGAAAGAGCGGTCAAGTGTTAGGTGCTGCTGAGAGGCCAAAAGAGGAAGACAGAATATCTCTTGGATTTAGGAATATGGAATTCCTTGGTGGTCTAAGCAAAAGCTCTTTTGGTGACATGATAATGGTAGCAGTAGCTAGGTTGGACTGGATTGAGTGAAAAGTAAGGAAATGGAGACTACCATTTATAGACAGCTCTTCTGGAAGGGAGCAGCGGTTGGGTGATAGAATGAGGCGCCTAGTGAGGGTTATTTTAAAATGGAAGCTACCTAATTGTATTTAAAAACCAATGGAAAGGATCCAGTCGAAAGGGAAATGAAAGAACAGAGAAATAAATCGTGTAAGATTCTAGAAAGAGCAGGAGGGTGAAGAATACCCACCTGCTCACCCTCTAGTCTTTTTCTACTGTAAAGTGGTTTAACTATAAACCCAGAGTATTTAAATAGATATGTGCCCGTGTGCCCTTTTCCCTTAATTTTAATACTTTTATATTTATATAAAATATTAAATTCATTTTTTGTTTAACCTACAGTAGATTCAAATCTCTCTTACAAATGACTAACATCCTGTGCATTCTTACATCTTTTAGGGAACTGATGGAGTGGAATATTTATTAATTCCCATTGACAATGGAACATTGACTGATTTCCTGGAAAAGGAAGAAGAGTCGTCTTGAAGCTATCCTTTACTCTTGAATCTTCTGTGGAAGGGTTATACTCCAGCTGCCACTCCTCTAAAGTGTTACGTTTACAGCCAACATTAGACTTTTCGCAGTGTGTAAGATTTAAAATTGGGAGTGGGGGAATATCATCAGTTTAGAACCTTGATTAGCCTGGCTGGTTTATCTTCTCTAGTACTACACTATGCAGTGGTCCACAAGTTGGAGAAAATGTGCCTTTCATTCATTACCTCTCTGGAGACTTCTTGCTGGAATGAACACTGTGCTCAGGGACTATTTGGAATTGGATGTTTTTGAATTCTTTTATACTAGAGATGGTTTTAAATCCTAAGTTTTTGAGGGCCTTTGAAACTCCTGGAGCTGATTGTTTGCAAGTGTGCTTATTCCAGAGTGTGGAAGTACAAAGACATTGACATCATGTAAATCTGCTTTATTCTGTTGTTGTGTGTGTCAAAACTGATAAGTGTAATGGAGAAGGCAGTCCATCTCTTACTGTTTCTGAAATGGCTTAACAAAAGGTGTAAGACTGGGGAAAAGTAGGTGATCCAGCTTTCTCCTTTTGGATTTAGGCTACATACTGGTGGGGGGCGAGGGGGCATGACACTATTCGGTAGGGGTAGTGGGAAACGCATAACAAATATACAGGGTATATACCCACCCTAGAAAGCACATAAACAGTAATAGAACATGATATTCAGAACAGTTAATGACTGTGCCATCACCTTCATGATACAGGTGAGAAGCCAGGCTAGAGAAATATACTCCTGAATTACATTTTAGTCATTATTTTCAAGACAATAGAAAATAAAAATTATTCTTTTAATATCAACATATTTTTGTCTTGAATAACATGCAGGTGAGTAGCATATTAATGACTAGCTTTAAATTTAATCTTGATTTCTAAAACTCACTGTAAGACATTTCAGGTTTTTTTTCTTAAAGTGACCATTTCAAGCCTTTTAAATATTTTTCTTAGCAAAGAAAAAAAAGACTAACCTTGGCCACTGTAGTCAGCTTACAGTCTTCACATACTCCCTGAAATATTTCATACTTGGAAATGAATTTATTAAAATATCACTGTAATAAAGTATGTACTCCATCAGCATTTTTCACTCATTTCTTATAAATACCTTTCATGAAAATATTTCCCAAAATGCTCAGAATTTTTAAAATCATCTTTGTGGCATATAATTAATTTTATGTTAAATCCATTTTTTAAGGGTTAAGTCAGATATAATTACTAATCAAAATATATAAACAAATTTGTACATGATTATGACTGTAGAGTTTTTTTTAATTATACCAAATGCTATTTAATGAAAAGTGAGTTTCCTTCCCATTCCCTGATCCAGTCTCTTAGGCAAACATTAATAGCAGTTTAAGAATTCTTCCAGAGGTATTCTATGCACATGTAAGGGTTTTTGGTCTGTATTTCTCCTTTAAAAAACACAAATGGTAGCATATGATACTTGCTGGTTTGTACCTTGCTTTTTTTGCTTAATATAGTAACTTAACAGTAAAAAAAAGCATACAAAATCCTTAATGACCTAATGTGCAAACTTTACATCTGCCCTTAAATATCTACTGGTTTATTTTTATAATTTTTGTCTATACTATTTGTAAGCAGTATGTGTCAATAGTCTTTACTATTAATAAAAAGTCAATTTGGATAGAATTACTTTTTCATTTATAGTATTTTTACTAAAAATATTTTGAACTACCTCAAAAATTTTATGAGTGCTTCATACAGATTTGATGATTTCAGCAGAATTATATGCTCTTCATTAACTTGTTTCAGCATCGATTTTCTGCAGGCTCTTCGAGTTTGACTGCCAAGACTCCAATTTTTGCTGTTACTTGCTTTTGTCAAGATTGAACAGACCTGAAACCTTGAAAGATTTTTCTGGCTGCTCTTTAATAAAATGGCTAAATAGGCCATAAACTATAGAACATTTGGTGAAACATTAACAAACAATGATAATGTACATTGTAAGAAATTTCTTCAGAAGGATACCATCCACTGATTCATGTTATGCATTCAAGTTAGGAGGAAAATGATTTGTAGATTGTCATCCTGTTGTTCTGTATGCATTATAACACACGAAGAGGGTCCCTATCTGTTTCTGACAGAATAATATTAATCTTATTCTCTAAGTAAGCAACCAGCATATCTCGAAGATCAGAAAGAAAGCCTCGTTCAGTGTTGCTGTGTTCACAGAGGATGACACTTATTCCTTGGGAAGCGGCATCCAGAATATCATGATGGGACATCTCACCTGCCAAAGGAAAGAGCAAATACTTATATTTATGAGACACAGTCTATGGAATGCTGAACCATAACAGCAGAAAGACTAAGTTTACATTCTGTATGAAGCAAATGTGATACAGTAGAATCACATATAAATCTATGTACAGCTTTCTTATATGTCTTCCATTTTAGAAAGAGACAGACTATCCCAATAAGAATTCCAAATTCCTTGTCCTTGGCAAACCCAAGACAAGTATTCAAATTCAAATATCCAAAAGTATAAAATATTGCCAGAACCAGACCTGAAAGAACATCCATTCAAAATATTTTCACAATAAAATAAATGACTACTGCTAAGTACAATGGGGCTTTCAGAAAGTTTCTTATGTAAGTATTCAATAACAAATACATAGAGAAAAATCCTTATGTATACTTCCCACAAGACTCCTTGATACTTTGTGAGCACCAAAAACTTTCAGCATCAACTCTAATGCATAAGAATGAAATAAGGTTATCTCTAAATTAAAAACAAAATATTTTCCTTTGACTTAGGCAAAACTAGACATTCTGTTACTGGTGGGATAGGATCACATCTTTTGTGAAAATATTTTGGGAAAACGCAAATGTTTTTAATTTTTAAAAACACCATTTGTGAATCTGATGACTTCTAATTTAAGAGCAAAGATAAACTACACAATCTGGCTTGTTCACAAAAAGCAGTTTTGAAATATACTTAAAAAACAAAGGCATAAAAAATAAGGAAAAAGTTCTTAGAAAAAAAAGTTTTCTACAAAAATTTTAATTTCCTACCTTCCCACCCACTATGTCATTCAAGAACCTTTTTTAACATAAAGGTAAAATAAAAAGACACTAAGGTGGCTTGGTTAGTAGCCATTCTTTAGGAAAGACAAATCTGGCTGCCTGGACTATTATAAATGCACTGGCTAGAGAAGGTGTGAAAGTAGGGAAATCCGTGAAGAGCCTGCAATAATAGCTGAAGGCAAAAGAAAGAAAAGCCTGGCACAGGATGGCAGCTGTGGGAAAGAAAGCATATGAGAATTTATACAGTATTTATTTGCAAGGAGCTCCTCCATCTGCTAGTCTTTCTAGGATATTACCCTTAACCTAATACCATATCAAGCTCAAAGGAAGGGTGATGAAAATCAGCAAAGGCCTATATTTGGTCTCATGGGCTGGTGCTTCCCAATCCTGAGGCTGTAGTCCAAGTGATGCCTTGCACATCACAGACACCTAAAGTAAGCCAGGTGAGAAAATATTTTCCATTTTCCCAAGTAAACAGGAAAGACAGCTTAACATTTTGGAATTCTGTGAATTTATCTTAAACACATACTACTTTATGCTAAAAAAAAAAATTAGTTTTAAAAAGTCATTATATACGAGGAAAGACATCTCAAATTGAGAGATATCAAAACAAATGGGCTATACTCTTCAAAAATGTCAGTGCTCTGAAGATAAAGCTGAGGAACTATTCCAGATGCAGTGTATGATCATGGATTGGATATAGAGCAGAAAAATGCTATAAATTTGATCAATTGGCAAAATTTGAATATAGACTATATTAAATAAGTGTTTTAACAATATTAAATTCCTGAATTTGGTCACTGTTCCACGGTCATACAAGATAATGTTACCCATTACATATTATCCTCAAAGACAGTGTAAGGCTGGGGAGCCAAACAATTACTGTCCAATAGAAACACATACAGGAGGTTAAGGACAAAGTGACAGGGATTGAAGAGGAAGGCATGGCCATCAGGGGCAAGAGCCAGAGAATGGCAGTAAGTTTCTCAAAGGAGGTTATCTTTGAGCTTACCTATAGAAATACACTGAAAGGGGCAAGGAAAAGGCATCTAGCCAGAGAAAACAGCATAAACAAAGACTGCATGAAGAAGATGAAACATTCAGGCTTCATGAGGACAGATGAAGGAAATCACTGAAGGTTTTTTAGCCAGGATAATATTATACACTATCGAATTTATACTTCTGAAAGTTAATTTTGGAGGAATGCGTGAGAGGTGAAGATCAGAGGCTTGATGAAGTACTTCAGGTAGGAGATGATGCCTAGACAGAGATAAAGGAAAAGGTTCTAAAAAGATTTTGAAGCTAGCACTGACAGGAACTGATGACTGACTTTAGGGTGGAGTAAGAGGAACCACTTTCTAGCTAAGGTGAAAAGGTAGAAAGTGTTCCATTAACAGACATGAAATCCGAGAGAAACCACATTTAGGAAGAATATAGGTTAAATAAATGCTGAACATCATTTTTTTTTTTTTTTTTAGATAATCTAATAATAAACTGTCAAATAATCTTTTTCTCTCCACAAAGAATTTGGTATGTCCCCAATTTTGGTGTAGTTCCTATTTAGTTCAGGTTCAAAAAGCATTTATTAGATCCATCTACATGCCAGGTGCTGCCCTAAAATCTGATATTTGTAAAAAATAAACCAAGGTTGGGAAAAGATACACACAAAAAAGGGTAGAAGATCTAAAAGCTGTCCTACCTGTGAGGTAAAGGTCGGCCTCTGCTCCCTGCAGAACACTGCTCCCAGAACCAGCACACAAGGCCACAGTTTTGACTTGGGACTCTTCAAGATAAAGGAAACAAGAGGCCAATACTTTATAATTCTCCTTCATTTGAATGTTATAATTTGTACAAAGAATCCTAAAAGTAATGCATATTTCACTCCTGGTCTCATACAGTATGTGAATTTTGTTTATTGAACTTTAAAAAAATAACAAAACATGTTTTATAGGCAAACAGATTATTCTTTGGTATAGCATAGCTAATCCAAAGCAGGGTTATTATTCCTTTGGACATACCTGGCTGCACAAGCCCATAAAAGGCACTGCTGAATAATGCTAATGGTATAGCTCAAGGCTTTACTGCAATTCTACTCAGTAAAGTAACCTTACTTGGGTCTCTAGGCAACAGTGAGAGGTAGGCAGGTAATATCTTTGTTCTCAGATGAGGAAGCAAAGGAACTAAGAGGGCTAGTTAGAGGATGCTACGAATGGATTTGACACTTTTTAAAATACGGTATTTATCTTAAAAGAGCATCCTCTGAAGAGTGAAATAACAGATACTTTCAAGCCAAAATCCAACAGGTATTTGGCACTTAGGTGTCTAGAATGGACACTTCATGAGTTGTCACGCCACAGTGGTATTTAAGAAGAGGGGCTCTGGAGTGGATCCGAAGTCAAATCCCAACTCTGCCATCCATTTTCTTTGGAAATTAACTCCCATGAGTTATTTGATCCAACTGTGGACGTCTGGATGTTACTTCTCTCTCTGAACTTCAATTTTTTCAACTATAATGGGAACACTAACATCTACCACAGAGCTAACAGGAGCTAACATTTACTGTACTTAATGTATGCCAGTAACTGTGCCTATCACATGCATTATACATCTACCTCAATGAGTTAGGTTTTATACTATTATTGTAATTTTTACAGATGTGGCTACTAGGACACAAAGGGGTTAAATAACTTGTCAAAGTCATGCAGCAAACAGGACATATAAATTTGAACCTAACACATTCAGAATCCTCTGTGTTCCTTTGCAATTAGAACTCACATACTTAGGACACTCAGTACAGTGCTAGGCTCACTGCAGGGGTTCAACAAATGTTCTGTTCATTCCTTTTGTTCCCAAAGGTACTAGGAAAAGCCAAAAGAAAAGACAGTGGCTACAAGACTCAAAAACTGCAGTGGATCATTTCACTTAGTAGTAACTTACTATAAAATATCACCAGTATTAAAAGTGCAAGATTTGCATGGTAATTGGAACAGTCATAATTTTCAGCTCTCTTCCTGGCAGATGGTAGGATTGCACTTTCTGTCCAACCTAGGTTAGGCCAGGCAATGTGACTAATTCTGGACAATGAGTTGCACAGAAGTTCATTTCTAGGCTATTCAGAATGTTTAACAGATGGGTTAAGGCTCTCCAAAACTCTCCCTCTGCAATGACCATCCTACAAATGGGCAGATTCCTCCTGCTGACTTGAGATAAACAGAATGGGATGGAGAATTATATAGCCAATGAGATGTTTACCACAGCACAACCTAGCCCACCCTGATTAATAATGTAAACCAGTCATCTCCTGTGAGCTCATGAGTTTTCTTTCACTTATATTAATACGATCAAGAGTTTCGACTTTTGCCCAATGTTCTCAGTATGTATACTGGATAAAAAAAAGGGGACATATTTACCTAAGGTCCTCCCTACCCCAAGAGCAAGGCGAACATGGGATAGTTTTAGATGTGTTTTGATTCGGTCGATCATGGTTGTCAAGGAGACAGATTCATCCAGTGTGCATAACCGTCCCATTCCAGTATGTAGAAGCAGAGGCTGAAGAGAAATAGAAGTTAGAAAAACTGCCCATCATCAGTCCTAGAAAACAAACTTTACAGAACAAACAGCAAATGCTGAGATCAACATAATATACACGCTATGCACTTACTACAGGCCAGCTCCAAGCTAAACTTTGGGGATACAAAATGGACAAAAACATTCTTTCACTTCTAGGCGATCACGGTATCCTGGGAGGAAAGATGTTTAAATAAATAATCACAATAAAGGTGTTTAAATACAAGATAAGTATTGACAAAGTAAATGAGCTGGGTCTTAGGGAGGACGGTACTTGGAAGAAGTAGAATTGAAGGTTTTACAAGGACTTGAGTCTCGAAGACAGACATGAAAGGAGTTAAAAGAGTGATGTTAAGTGCAATGGGTAGGATAGGGATAGGGCAGGATGTGGATGGAAAGGCATTCTAAACAGAGAGAACATATACAAAGGTGTCAAAGTTGAGAGCACACTGAGGGCAGATCCAAAAGCAGAGAGTATATGGGGAGAGCGGGGAGGGAGATGGGATAAAAGAGGTCAAATATGTGGTGACAGAAAGAAATCTAACTATGGGTGGTGAACACACAATGCAATATATGTATGCCTTACTGTTAAATTACATACTTGAAACTTAATGGATTTCATTAACCAATGTCGCCATATTAAAAAAAGAGAGTATAGCTGGCGTGCACTGTAATGGATAGGGACCAGGAAGAGGCTGAAGACAGGGGCCACGGCCGGTCATGAAAGGCTCTGGATGCTATGCCTGGATTGTCACCTGTGGGTGCCCACTCAGGACCACTCATACCCCACGTGAAGGAACAGCAGAGTTTCTGTGCTGGCACAGTGAATAGAAAGGAAAAACATTTTATAGATTTGAGGACAGAATCAGCAGGGCTTGGATTTACAGGGCTAGGGAAAGTTGTAGAAATAGAAAAAAGAATAGTATTTAAAGGTGTCAATCAATCAATCAATGGAGCCACTTTAAAACTGAGCCAGAGCTGCCATGCCAGAAGAACTACCTTTCACATCTTATGCCTCAAACTCTTGGAGTGTTAAAACATAACCACTGGACTGGGCCTAAAGCAACCTTGTGTGTCCCAACGAACTATGTGCAAAGATAACAAGAAAGCAGATACCATGACTACCAGACTGGTAGAATTAATATCATAGATTATTAATTCTTTAGAATATCACTATGTTATCTGCACCAAGACGGCTTTCCTTCTATTGATGTAATTGTTCCTCTTCCCTTTCTCATAAATACCCATTGCCTTTGTCTCCTAATGGAAATATTACTTTGGCTTGTGCTTGAATCAATGCTTCCTGAATAGTTACTCCTTTTTTTGATCTCAAATAAATGCTTGTTGCCTTTTACTTTGAAAGGCTGTTTTATTCTTAGGTTAAAAGAATAAAGGGGTAGTACAGGGATAAGGTCAATAGTTGTATATACTGTATTTGAAATACGTGTGAGATCCGTAAATGGAAAATGTCCAGAAAGTAGTTGGAAATATGAGTTCATTCATTATTTTTCAACTTAAAAAGCATTCTGAGCCAGAAAGTAAAGAAAAAGGAACCATCATACAAATGACTGTCAAGTTGAAAGGAATCAATAAAATGGTCCAGGCAGAGGGTATAAGAGACCAAACCTGTTACTGAATCATTAACTCTGAAGACCACTGCTATAGTCTGAATGTTTCTGTCCCCCCGAATTCATATGTTGAAATTCTAACCCCCAAATGTAATGGTATTAGGAAGTGGAACCTTTGAGAGGTGCTTAAGTTATGACGGTGGAACCCACATAAATGGGATCAGTGCTTTATAAAAGCTCCAGATAGATCTGTAGTCTCTTTCCACTACGTGAGGACAGAGAGAAGGTGCCATTTATGAACCAGAAGTGGGCTCTCATCAGACACCACTCCAAATATGCTAGTGCCATGAACTTGGAATTCCTAGCCTCTAAAACTAGGAGAAATAAATTTGTTTATAAGCTTTCCAGTCTGTGATATTTTGTTCTAACAGTCCGAATGTGTCGTAGCAGCCCAAATGGACTGATAATACCAACATTTTTCTATTCTGGAATGTCTCCCTTTCTCAATATACTTTCCAGAGGAAATGCCCTCATCATTACTTTGTGCTTCTTTAGGTAACAGTTAATAATAGCCTGCTGATCTAATAATTTACAAATGAATTTGCCAAACCAAAATGCACAGCAATTTAAGATATTTTTATTACCTTCTCCAATGACAGAATTTCAGTCTTCTGATAAAGTTGTCTGTTCTGGGAAAGAAAAGCCACCACCTGCATCAAAGCCTGCTGACTACAATTCAAACTGATCCGTGTTTGTTTTTCGTCATCAGCCCTAGAAGAAGTCACTCACTGGTTTAAGATGAATATAAACAAGATGTTTTTAAATAATCCATAGTTTACAACCTCCTATAACAGATTAGATTTATATGGAATTTAGGATTTAATCCCAAACCACACTATTTTCTAGAATATTGTTTCTCAGACTTTAGAGTGCATCAAAATCACCTTGTAGACTTATTAAAACATAAATTGCTGGGCCCCAACCCGAGTTTCTGATTCAGAAGTTCTAGGTGGAGTCTGAGAATTTACTTTTCTAACAAGATCCAGGTAATGCTGATGTTGCTGATCCAGAGACCTCACTTTGAAACCACTGTTCTTAACTCCAGTTGTGCATCAGAAATCTTTTGCTAGTTTCTTAAAATGATGGCTGCTGGACCTCTCTACAGACCTAGTGAAGCGACATCTATGAATGAGGCTGGAGCAAAGTGAATTTTTTTTAAGCCCTAGCGAAGATGAATTTTCAAACATCACTGAATATAAGAATTTCCTGGACAGAGTCTCAGGCAAACTCCATTCTAATTACATAGCTCCAGAATGAAGCCAAAAATCTTCATTTTTCATAAAGACCCCATTAACAATAATGCAGGTGGTCCTTGAATTGCCCCTTGAGAAACAATGCCCTAGAGCCAAAAAGACTACTTTAAGAGAGCTTTGTATTTAACCATAAACTCTAAGCAGAGTTTTGAAACATGGAGTTTACAAATTTGGAAAATAAGGTATGAACTAAAAGACACTTTAAAATATAATTTTGAAGTATAGTTGTCAACAAAGAAATCATCTGCAGAGCTTTGGGAAAAAAAGCAAAAACAATGCCTGAGCCTCAACTAATGGTAAAACCAACATTATCTGTAATATGGAAAAACTAGAACCAAACTAAACGTATCAGTTTAAAAAAAAAAAAAAAAAAAGTCGATCAGGAGGAGGATAGCTTAAAAGTCAATCAGGAGGAGTTTCATAGGTGCTGTGTTTTTTACAAACTAAAAGTAAGACCCTCCACCATAACAAGAAATACTACACAGCAGTTGAAAGAGATCTTATATACCTACAGGGAATAATCTGTAAGACATCTTGTTAGTAAAAAAGGCAGATACAGCATATCATTTAAGTAAGAGAACAATGACTAAAACTATATATTTCTTCATGTTTCTCTGTGTACTTAGAAAGATACCCACTTCTCTGAAAGCAAGTAAAAAGATGACCTGATTTACAGATACTGCAACTGAGTAGAGGAGACAAGGAGGATTTCTGTATTGTTCAAATTTTTCATGCTTTATTTGTAATTTTCTTTTAATTTCACACAATATTTCAGTATGGTAAAAGACAGCCATGACTGACATCTATGAAAAGTCCAATGAATAATTTTCTTGAGATTCTTGAAATCCCCCAATACTGTTAAAGGACATTTGTGATGATTTTACTCTAAAATATACTTAAAAACTACTCATCAAAGTAGCCTGAAATAGATTTCCAATTTATTAAAGTCTTTATATTTATCTTTGTTTTTAAACAATTATTAAATCCTAGCTTTGTATAACTTGACTTTTATAGTGCTTTGACAAGTTATTAGGGTAAATTAACCTAAAAGAAAATCTGTGAGGCAACATTTTGCTATCTCTACCCTAAATAAACAAACAACTGCCCTTATAAGAGGCACTTTAAAGTATTTTTCCTTTAAAGGGCTTGGGAATCACTGATTTGCTGGAAATTGATAAAAGTAGACCTATGTTATCAGTATATCACTACGGTTTATCTATACACAGACATACTTCACTTTATTGAGTTTCATAGGTGTTGTGTTTTTTACAAACTAAAAGTAAGACCCTCCACCAGCAAAAAAGATTACAACTCTCGTTACTGTTAATACTTGCTTTATTATGGTTGTCTGGAACCAAATTCGCAGTATCTCCAAGGTATGCCTGTACCCTAAAGTAAAAACAACTACCTTTCATCATTACCAGGATAAGAAATACTGTATGTAAAATGTGTAGAATAGTCCCTCCTATATAGAAAATAGTTTAAGTGTTACTTATCAATATGAGAGAATCTCCCATAATTCTCCTCCAAGACCCACAGCAAGTGAGAAGGATGCTGCTTTTAAACCCATCCTGGGGAAAACTATTTCTTTCAAATCTAAAAACCCGAGTTACAGAATTTGTAAGGAAGTTCCTTACAAATAAACACACACACACACACAAAAGAGAAAAATACATTGTACCTAGTAGAAAAAGAAGTGACAGAAACATCCGAAATTCCTTTCACTGTAGCAATGACTTCATCCAGGTCTTGGGTATGGTTAACATTAAACTCTACTCTGTGCGTTCCTGCCGTGGGATAGTCGGGCGCTTTGGAAGGATGTATGGGCCTGGAAGTGCAAACTCCTAGGAAAAAAATTGTGGGGAAATGAAGTTTTGTGTTTTTTTTTTTAAATTAAAAAGATAAATTATTATGGGCAAAACTTTTAAGAAATTAGTATTTTTTTAAAATTTCTATCTACGGCCATGCCATCCTGAACAAGCCCGATCCCATCTGATCTCGGAAGCTAAGCAGAGTCAGGCCTGGTTAGTACTTGGATAGGAGACCACCTAGGAAGACTAGGTGCTGTAAGTGTAAAAAAAAATAATAATAATAAGGGATTGTACACTGACAAGGTCCTTGCAATCTGTGAGGTCAACCAAGGGTTGCCTTGCCTGAAAAAAAAAAAATTCATTCCCAGAGGCTTACATCATAATACATATACACATATTCCTTATGTATACATCCAATAGTCCCCATAAACTAGGGATTTACTACAGACATACAAAATCGAATTTATTTTCAGAATTATTTTCCAGAAGACTTTTAAAAGGCTGATTCAGGAATCTTTAGATGATATAGAGAATTGTGACTGCTTACTAAATTTACTCATGTAAACCATGATTCACCTTGCAAATGCTCATAATATACCTGACCACATCAATCCATATTACATCATCAGAAAAGCCTCAGCCCAAAACGAGTGGGTAAACTAAAATGACTAAAAATAAAGCTAAAACACATATGCTGAATTTCCTCATTGTGCTGGGCAAACTAAGCATTCAATAAAACTCTGATATCTAGACTGACATATTAGGTATATTCTGGAGAGGCTTGAACTTTCAATTCAATTTAAGCATTTCTGGAGTGTTTGGGTGCTAGGACTATGCCACATGAGTGAGGAATCAGAAAGCTCAGTCCAGCAATAAAAATTCCCTACGCTGTCCTTACTCATTAATTAAAAAAAAAAATTATTTTTCAAATGCAATTTAATTGCCAGATTTCAGCAACATTTTTAAAAAATGTATTATGTAAAAAATAAAATAATGGCCCTACCTCCAAAGCAGTTAAAATTCTATTGGAAAGCCATTCTAAAATTTCAAAGCATTTACAGGGAAAATATTAAACATGAAAGTACAAGAGGCCTCTCACCAAGCCCTTTAGCCAACCAGCAATTGACTCCATGGGGTGCAGCATCATAGGCTGTGTGAGGAGAGTAAATAGCGACTCTGTTCTCCAGAGCCCGAATCACCAGGCGCTCCTTCCAGGTTTTCCAGGTTACACGCTTCATGGGTCGGAAAATAGGCGGGTGGTAGGAGAGAATGAGATTAGCCTTCTTTTGCAGCGCCTCCTCCATCACTTTCTCGGTCAAGTCATTGGTCAGAAAGAGGGTATTTACAGTGTGTGGTGGGCTTGGTTCCACTAATAATCCAACATTGTCCCAACTCTCAGCAAATGAGAGGGATGCAAAGTCATTCAAGGAGGAAAGAAGAGCCTTCAAATCCATGAAGGAAGAGGAAGAATTGCAGATTAAGGAATGAATAAGCCGGACTGTTTTGGGGACCAGGCATACACGAGATGACAACATACAGAAATCAGGTAAAACTGCGTATCTGAAATCAAAACACAGAAAATGGTACATGTGCACACTTTAGGCCGACTTTTGAGGCAGCAAAACCCATGAGCAAAAGAGGTACAGTGATACATACCTGGGTTCAAATACCGGCTCTGCCACATACAGCACCTGGTATTTTAGGTGTCATTTAACCACTCTCCTCCTTTCTCTAAATACTATCCTTCCTTCCAAGTCCCCTTCAACTTCCTAAACAAAGCTTTTCTTAACACTTTCCTTTTCTGTGTCTCCCTCCTCCCTGCCCTGCTCTGCCCTACTATTCTCTTAGTATATTCCTGTTTATCTGTCTCCTCAGTATGCTAATGATAGTGGAGAACAGGAACTGTTATATTTCTCAATATCACCAACATAGGCCAGCACTAAATGCTTATTGCACAGACAGTCTCTCCAACTGATCACAGCAGAATTTGGAGTTAGGATGGCATATACAGGCATTAAAAAGCAGTTTATGATCACAGCAGAACTTGGAGTTAGGATGGCACATACTTTATCAAAAAAAATCTCTATCTATAAAGTTAAGTGCTTTATAAGATATATAGATGGTCACTTCACTAATGGGCAGGGTCAAGGAAGGAAGAAGCAGGAAGAGGCTGGAGCAGCTGTCTCAGAACCAACACCTGCTACAAGAAGGCCAGGCTCAACAGGTGGGAGAGGTGAAGGTGAAGGGCACTTTGCCCACAGAATCTGTAAGTCTTCTAAACAGCTATTTCCAATACAAAAGATAACACTGCCAACTCCATTCTTAAATTTAGTATCTACGAACATTTTTGATTTTGAAGAAAAGCATTTCATAGTATGCAAAACAATTAAGATTATAAGTAAAATATTCTTAACCCGATGATTTCAAAAGCAAGTTTGTGGCAACATTTCTACAACAAAAATAATATGACATGGACTTATTCAATATATGATTTAAAGTGATATTGAGCTTTCATTAATCACTCCAGCCGGTGGTCCTGGAAGATCGTCTACCTTCCCTGTACCACCTCCTCTCCAGATTCCACGTTCTGATCGTACTCCACTCTCTAGACTCTTCTAAATCTGGCAAGTGCGAAAGTGAAGCTTCTAGTGGGCCACCTCCACTTATCTACTATTACATTTGAAAGAGCCCTTGAAAATAACAGAGCACCTTCCATTTCAGATTAGGAAACTGCAAAGCTGGGTAGCTTGATGCCACAACTAACAATGAGAGGTGGCAGGCATAGTATGGTGAGTTAAGAGCACCGACTCTAAAATCAGACTGACTCCCACAGTCATAGCTGTGTAACAGATTTCTTAATCTCTGAGGTTCCCACCTCTGAAGAATGGAAATTAGTGTTCAGCTCACAGTATCGTCGCAAAATATAACTGTAAAGCTAGGAACAATATCTGACCTAGAGTCGGCACTCTGTGTTATTGTTAATAGTAGTAGGCCCCACTTTACAACCTGAAAACTACACCTTCTAAAGTTACTTCTTCTACCCTTCATTTTTGCCCCACGTCAGGCCTTTTCCAGGACAATGATAAGCACAAGTAGCACGACCGGCAAGTCCTTGAGTCAGGAACCCTGCCCCACTAGTGCCCTATGCTTTCGTGCTGCAAGCTAGTTTTCTGCCCTTATCTCTTCTGCCTCCTGTCGCTGGAACACCCGGATAACAGTCACAGCACGCACGAACCACAGCCTGCACCGAAATTTTTAGCTAGGCCCGCCGGGATTTACACCGCCCAAAACTTACCAGTCCCAAGAAACACTCTTCTGCGTCACTTCCGGTCCCGCGCGAGACCTCGGGGCGTAGCGGAAATGGGCGGGACAAAAGAGGCAGGCGGAAGTGGACTTTCCTATTTTACCTCTGAATCCAAGGCACTTCTAGAGGTTGTCCAAAATAATTCCGGGCTAGGCGTCTTGTCCTAGCGTAACTATTAAAAGAGCTTTTTTTCACTGTCAAAAGTGTTCCAGGTGAGGATGACTTATCTTGTCTCCCTAGTTCTAGTCTTTTTGGTTTGAGAAGGAGGCAGGAGGCGAGCCCGTGAGGGGCGTTCTCTCTAATGGGTCCCGCGCTCGACTTCCGGTTACCTGAAGAAACCAATTTCTGATTTACAGATCTGTGGGGGGCTTCTGCAACTGCATCTTTTCTGTTTACTAACTGTGCTAATCGAAGTGGTTAAGTAAGGGGTAACGCGCTCATTGTCTCCTTCACTTACTCAAATGCTTGCAGAGCGCTGTTTTAGTCTTGGGTACCTTCTATGAGCGTTCTGGGCAGGAAGGATGTTGAAAAAACAAACGTTAATAATAAAGTGTATGTCATATTAATGATAAATGCTATGAGAAAAAGGAAATAGGGCAGGTACTAGAGTTAAGGCTTTTAAAAATAGAGTTACCAGGTCAGTGAGACCTGAGTTGCGTGCAGACCTGGAGGTGAGCAAAATAGCCAAAGAGATGTCGGAGTGTGAGCGTTCCAGGCGAAGAGATCAGCCAGTGCGCAGACCCCAAGGCTTGAATGCACCGGGCTTGTCGGAGGACTTGCAAGGAGGCTTTTGAAGAAGAGCGAGCTGAGGAAGTAGGAGGTTTAGGGACTTAAGTCCGGTAGGAACTCCTCATCACTTACATAACCGGGTTTTTATTATTTGGAAGATGCTTTCTGAGACTTTTTCTTTTAAATGTGCAGTAAACATGAGCATGTGTGAGGTAAAGAAGAAAAATGAACTTAATTCTTTTTTCTTTAGGAAATAGAGATTTCGTTTTCGAACTTCTCTGGATAAGACTGAGAAATTAAGTAACGGAAAAATGGTAAGTTTTATGGAAATCTCATGAATATCTTTCATTATAAGTAATTTTTAGAAATTCAGTTGAGGGAAATAAAAACTCCATGGAAATTCCAATAGCAAGAAAGAGAAATGAGACGTAGAAGCATACAGTGTAACAGGATTCTAAACAAAACCAGAACTAAGCAAAATTACTTTTAAATTATGTTTTCATTTAAAACACAGAATTTACCTTTTATGGAAAAACAGATTACAGGATATAGAGATGGGAAGAGTGAGTAGGAGGAGCAGAAGGGTATAGCCAGGTGAGATCATTTTAATTGGAACCTTTTGCTCTGTATCTAAGGTGGGCAGCTAGAGCTTGAAGTAGATGAAAAGCAATGAGAATAATTTACTGCCCCACCCTCACCCCACCCGGTGCTCCCCAACAGACACACACACACTCCTGTTCGCCATCTTCAATCTGGCCATACTTGTTGACCGTTAAATACGATTTTAAGAAGATATATGAAAAAGAAGCCCCAGAATAGTTTTCCTTCTTACTGGCATGGGTTAACAAAAGGAGTATTTGAGCTACCAAAACAATAGATAAAACAAAAAGCTACCATAAAGAGTATTATGGTTACCTCTCCACACTTAAAATCTAGAAACACTGACACTTTTTACGTCTTGTCTTTAGTTGAGAAAGGAAATGTTTTTTAAACCTGTCTCACAATTATATAAGGGAAATGGTGGAAACTGTTTTGAAAGTCATTTTCTTATTATTTTTCAGTAAATATTAATGATGGTGAATGCCATTTAAATCAATAATACAAACATTGCAATTTTTTTATTGATGAAAAATTCAAACTTAAAATAATTATATCACAATATTTGCTCCCTAATTTTTAGCATAGATACTATTTTACCCTAAACTTTATATTTATCTTCTGGAGTTGTCTTTTACTACTGAAGTAAATTTTAAAGAACTATAACTTATCTCTCAGAGCTGCTTTGTGGACAGGTCATCTCTAAAACAGTATTTCATTCTGTTTTTATTTAGGTTGGCATATTTAATATTTGGAAATCATACAGTGCATACAGTTACCTGAAGAAATCTCATTTGTTTTTATTTCATTCTGTTTTTATTTCATTCTGTTTTTATTTAGGTTGTCATATTTAATATTTGGAAGTCATACAGTGCATACAGTTACCTGAAGAAATCTCATTTGTTTTCATATTCTTTTTAGTCAGTGACACTGCATACAGATGTAGGTGATATTAAAATAGAAGTCTTCTGTGAGAGGACACCCAAAGCATGTGAAGTGAGTACCATTATGTACAAATAAAAAATAAATTAATGCAAGAGATAACCATTTCGAAACTGAATGATTAAAAAAAAACTAACAACCACCCCCCCCCAGAAAAAAAGAGAAAAAGAAAACTTTTTCTATAAAACCATTGTTGGGAAAAACCAACCATCATAATTTCAGCCCTAATTTCCACTTACCTTTCCCAATATCAAAGGTAGATCAAAGAAAGTGTAGATGATTTTTCTCTAACCATAGAGTGGTTGGTATCTTTTTCTCTTGGATCATTTTCCTCAGGAAACATAAAAATCATTAGATGTCAGATAAGAAAACTGTTCCTTATATTATTTCATTTATTTAAATGACAAGGATAGAGGGAAGAAGAGTCAGCTATATATATTCATTCAAAAATTATTTATGAAATGCTATCTCGACAGTGTAAGGGAATACAGTGATGAACTAGAAACATTCCTTGCCCTCATGGAGCTAATATTCTATGTAGGAAAATAGTCCGGAGCTTGATGTGGGGGCAGGGAGGGGGGAGTGGTCATTCAAAAAAAAAAAGTAATTCTAAAAATAATGGGAAGGGAATTATTTAAAAGAAGGTTAAGGCAGGCCTAGCTAAGACAGTGATACTTAGTTTAAACTGAGTGTGAAAGGTAATAAAGGCATCTTCATGGAAAGATATAAAAAAAAGAAAGAATATTCCAGTTATAGAGATAGCAGTGGGAAAGCCTGTCTCTTTTGGGTGAATGTTCAGAAGGCTGATAGGGTTAACGTAGTAAGCAACAGGGAAGGGGTTATTATATGAGATGTGGAGGTAGGTCAGGTCATGCTGGGCATATTAGGCTCTGCTGGGGATTTTGTATTTTATTCCAAGAACTAAAAAAAAGCCATTAAAGTATTTTAGGCAGGGAAGTGACATTATCCAAAGTAATGCCTAAAAGATCTAGTTTAACTATGCTATTATTGTATTTTCAGTAAATATAATTAGTTATTTATCTTAAATGTGTTTCTTTACATATTTTCTCAATCATTATTTTTATTCTCTTCAGAATTTCTTGGCTCTTTGTGCCAGTAATTACTACAATGGCTGTATATTTCATAGAAATATCAAGGGTTTTATGGTTCAAACAGGAGATCCCACAGGTAAGTTATTCCATTAACATCTAGGGAATTGGGTATATAAAGTTTGAATAAGGGGGTAGACAAAGATTAGAAAAATAAAAGCATGTGGAGTTTTTATAATTGGGCTACCTTATAATAGCAAACAATTTTTAAGCTGAAGCTACTAGCACCTAGCCCTAAAATGTGAATAATACTGATAAGGGGGGTTTTTGTTTTTTCTAGAGATACTTTATTTTTCTGGTCCGTGAAGTGAAATTTTAGAAAGTAAGGGAAGACATATCAAATTTTATTTGTGTTTAAAGAGTTATATTTTAAACTAGTCCTTATGTGTTAGAAAATAAACCCTTTCTCAAGTTTAATTAGATCATTCTTTTGTCTCTCTTGTAATATAGGTACCGGAAGAGGAGGTAACAGTATCTGGAGCAAGAAATTTGAGGATGAATACAGTGAATATCTTAAGGTATGTCCCCAGTGCTTCAAAATCTATTTTCTCATGCCTTATTTACAACTGGAAACTTTGATACGTATGTTGTAGTTATACAAGTTAACATTATTGGTAAGCAAATATTTGTACTTTTTTTTGTAGTTTTTGTACACTTGATAAATGATATCAAGGAGAGAATATAAATGGCAGCTCTAGCCTAAGATATATACTGGAATCTCACCATCACATGGATCTTGGTATTAAGTGAGCTCATCTTTGTGTCCAGCATGTAATGTTTAATCACTAATGTACCAAAGGGGGTTAATGTCTCACTCTGAGATTCATGATGAATGACATGAATCATTGGCCTTTTTCGAGAGCAGGGATGAAAGACTATCAGACCTCCCAGTAGTTGCAGTATTGCCATTATCAGTCTCCAACTTTTCTCATCTTCTTCGGTATTAACTTTACTTAATACCTGTGGTAGATCTCAGCAGAGTTAACAGGAAGTACATATAAGTAAATGGTCAGCAGGGTAAAATTAGGGATTTTTTTCTGTATTTTTTCTGTATTTCTAAAACTCTTTTAAGAATTTTCTTTTCCTAAAATTAAAAAAATAATTCATGCCTATTTTTTAAATAAATCAGTTCCAGTTCCCAGTGATGTCATTAGTTAACAGTTTATCGTGTGGTCTTTTAACTTTGTATCTGCATAGAATGACTGTATAATTAGAAAAAAAGATAAATTCTCCTCAACCAGAACACATAATTTAGTATGTTGTATTTTATTACATTAAAATATACCCAGGAAATTTTGTGAAAAAAATATTCAATGCAGTGTTTATCTCTGGATGGTAGGACTAGGTGTCATTTATTTTATCTTCTTTTTGCTTTTCTATCATAAAGAAATACTACTTTGTTATAGGAGTTGGGGTAGGGAGATGCTAAATTGTTTTTAAAGTCATCTTTTTCCTGAATTAGAAACAAAACAACGTTTTAGGCATTAACTAATGACAGCTTTCATAACTCTAATTTGTCATCCTATACAGTGGTTTTTACCTTGCTTGTTACAGACTCACCAGTGGAAGTTCTAAAAGTATAAAAAATTAGGTCCTTATCCCCACTTCCCAAATATAGAGAAAAACAATCAGGAGGACTATTAGGATCTTGATTATATTTTAAGGTTTCCTGGTGATTCCTACACAGCCAAGGTTAAGAACCATTATCTTATATACCAGAATCGAGGATGTGTATTGAATATTCACATACTCTGACCTAAGAATTCCATCCCTAAGGGTTTCTTAAAGAAATTCTTGTAAATGTGCATCAGGAGACCTGTACAAGAGTACTCCTACAGTATTATTTTAATAGCAAAAGGCTAAAAACAACCCAAATGTCTATCGATCATAGAATGGACAAATTGTAATATATTCAGTAGAGGAATATTATACAGCAGTAAAAAAATCAGAACTACAGTTACCTATACATGTATGAATCTTAGAAACATAGAGAAGAAAGCATTGCCCAGAAGACTACAAACGTATGATAGTATTTTACAGAGTTCAGAAACAAGTGAAGGAAACAATACAGTTGACCATTGAACAACATGGAGGTTAAAGGCGTTTACCCCCATGCAGTCAAAAATCTGTGTATAACTTTTGACTTCCCCAAAACTTCAGTGTTCCCTCTGTTTCCACGGAGGATTGCTTCCACAATACCTCCCCCGTGCCCACACACACATGTAGATACCAAAATCCACAGAGGCTCAAGTCTCCTATATAAAATGGCATAGATCAGTGCATACAGTCAGCTGTCCACATCTGCAGACTCCCAAACGCAGATTTAAAAAAATATGCCTATAAGTAGACCCACACCAATCAAACCCTTCCTTGTTCAAGACCCATTCAACTATATATTGTTTAGGTGTGTATAAAAATACTAGAATAGTGGTTACTTCTTGGAGAGGCTAAGGTAATAGATGAGAGGAGTACATAGACATATGCAACAGTTTGGTAAATTTTAATTCTTAAAGCTTAGAAATAGGTTAATAGATACTTAAGTTACAGGTGATACATACATCCTTGGGTATGTATCAAATATTACATTTGATTGGTAGCCTTTTTTGGGAGACAATAAAGCATTAATATCTTGATGTAGCTGCATTTATTATACATTGGTATTGGTAAAAGTGTGTCTGTGCTTCTCCAGCGTGAAAATGAAATTAATTGGAGAGTATGCATCTCTATTGCTGGTCTTATTAGTGTCCCCTGATGAATAGCTAGAGTAATTGTTTGAGTTATTTATAGTGTATTTTATACTGGGGTACTGCCCTATAACATGGTTCTGTCATGTCTTCAGTCTTATAAGTAAAGTCCTTTTAATTCCTGTACACAGTCCCTATATAGCAAATAGTGTTATGAACATTAGAGCTAGATGAGACCTTCCTTAGATCATCTAGTTCTGGGGTAATGAACTGACTGCCCATGGGTGGATGACCCACAGATGGATTCTCTATGGCATTGATTAAAAAAAAATTTAATGCTTAGGCAAGGGATATACTATTCCTTTGGCCAGACTCCACCACTCCCTAATGTTTACATTCTGCCCAGTCACCAATTTATTATCTGCTGACCCTTGTGAGCATTTAAAGTATGAAAAAACCCTGAACTAGTCCAACCTCCCTTGTTTTACAGATAAAGAAACTAGCCAGAGTCCAGTGTATATGTGAAGAGATTATGGGGATTTTGGTTTTGTTGTCTACCTGATCATTTCATGCCAGCACAGTTCCTTAATATAAATGTAAGGATTATTTCTCTTATACATTTGTATTACTGTACTTCTCCAAAGTGAAAGTGAAATGAATGGGGGGATATGATTTGCTATATAAATAATTTACACATAAGTTTTCAGAGATACAGATAATACAGAAACCAAACATTTTGGTTAGCCCAAATAGAAGCCAATTAAATGTTTTCTTGATCCCTTAAATATTGGGAAGTTAAAGAGTACATGTGTTGTTTCAGTTCTACATTTGGAATATTTATATAAAAACACAGTTAAATTAATATTTTGATCTGTCTTTTTCAGCACAGTGTAAGAGGTGTTGTGTCTATGGCTAATAATGGCCCAAACACCAATGGATCTCAGTTTTTCATCACCTATGGCAAGCAGCCACATTTGGATATGAAATATACAGTATTTGGAAAGTAAGTATTATGGTTATGGTTTTCTTTTTGGAATTTAAATGCAAGGGATACATATGAGTGGCCGTGATAATAGCATAACTAATATTGAAAGCAGTATGAAAAAAAAAATCAAAAAGAAAGAGCTGTATGAGAGCTAAACATATCCAGAATTTAAGTCTGCCACTTACCAGTCCTGTGACCTTAGGAAGTTATAACCTCTCTGAGCTGTGGTTTCCTTATTTTGCAAAAGAGGGCTGCTAGTACTTTTTTTAGGGTCATTATACAAATTAATAGTAATGTATCTGTTTTCATTAGGAATAGCATTTTGCAGCAATTGACAGACATGAAACACAGTGGCTTAAACAAGACGGACTGGGATGGTGGTGTCATCATGTCACCAATGTTCTAGTCACCTCTGTCTTTCTTCTCAGCCATCTTTAGCTTCTGTCTTTAATCTCACCAAATGGTCATAACATGGGCAGCACAGCTTCAGTCAGAACATCTGTGTTCCAGGCAGAACAGAGGAGGAAGGGCAAAAAGTACCTGCCAGCTGAACCTACCTCTTTTTAAAGAGTTTTCATGGAACACTTAGAACTTTGCAATGTTGCCTCCCCTTACATTCAAGGGAAGGTAGGAAATGTTTTTCAGCCAGACACATTACCACTCTCAATGAAATTAGGTTTCTTTGAGAAAGAAGAAGGGGAGACTGAATGCTAGGGAGGTATTTAGCAGTCTCTGCTAGAACATTCATTACAATTTGTATTCTACAAATATTTACTATGCTTAATAAACTAACGCATGGTTCTACAGTTTGTTTTATTTAATAGTTTGGATATCAAATTAGGCTAATTAAAAATAGAAAACTACAACTTGCTTTTTCATTCCATATACATATCTAATTTAATTAATAATTCATGAAATTAGTGAAATATTACAGCCTCTAGTATTCTTTGTATGTATGTGGATAATCCAGATTCCCTTGCTTTTATTTTCTCCCTTAACCCACCATTCAGAATTTTTATCAGTAATTACCAGGACTTGTTTTACTGGGTTTGTGACAAAACTGTAGAGTTTTTAAATTCTTAACCTTAGGTCCATTAACTTCTTGAAATTCTGTTTTTCTGGGAAGATGATTTCCACTAGTTCTCGAACGGGCTGTGTTCCAGATAATTGACTAAAATTAACTTGCCTCAGTTCTGCATGCTTTTTTTTTTTTTTTTGCCCAAGATCTGTTTTCTATATCCTCTCTTTCTCTTACAGACCCAGAGGTGGGAAAGTCTTCAACATTTACAGTTTAAAGGCCTTAATTGTCATACGTTTGAGAATAAAATCAAAAGGTTTTGGTTATAGTAGCATTTTAGTTGAATTGCAAAATAAAATGTAAAATTTGCTCAGTAGCTATAATAAATGTGGAAAAATACTTGGCAAAATTTGAGGGACACACCTATAGTGGTTTAACCAGTTTTAATTATGTCAGAGATTGCATCATCCTGCTTGTTTACAGCTAAGATGTATGAGTTGGTGGTACCAAGAGGGTCCAAACAGCTTTTACTCCATCCATAGAGTATATTCTTTACTAAAACTATCAGCTAACATTATTTTTAAAAAAGTACTTACTATAAATCTTAGGAACTGTTTTTGAGTTGGACTAGGAGGTATAATCTAAAAATCTACCTTTACTTAGCAACTTGTTTTAGACTAACTTTCCAGAATATATGTAAAGGATACCTCTCAACATTTTTTTTTTCTTAGTGGAAACATGAAGTGAGCATGGTGTAAGGAATTAGGCTTAACTGTTCAACTCTTTTTTCTATTTTTATTATTATTGCTTTTTGTTGTCCAGAAGCAAAAATTAAAAACACCATATTTAAACAATAAAGTGCTAAGTGGCCATTCACTTAAGGTCCTCCAGTGTAGGGTAGTATTGATAATAATAGTGTCATTCTTATTTACTTTCTCTGGGTATTTCCTATAGTGAAGAAAATCTTATAACTGGTAATATTAGCTCCATTTGTAGCTATGCTGTATAAATGTGGCAGAATACAATGTTTAGATACTGTGGTAGAATATTCCTACACATTGCTATTGTTGTGTAAAAATATAAAAATGAATTTTTGTTTCTGAATTTTGGCCCATATCTATGGTAGAAAATCAGATCAATATTGTACATTCAACTAGGAAATTCAAAGAACTATGAGAATGGTCCTTTTCTCTTAAAGATACTATAATTGCTATAGGTATTTGGATATTGTGTTTCAATCTGAGAAATTTTTATAAATTATACCGTTTCCCTTTCAGAGTGATAGATGGTCTGGAGACTCTAGACGAATTGGAGAAGTTACCAGTAAATGAGAAGACATATCGACCTCTTAATGATGTACACATTAAGGACATAACTATTCATGCCAACCCGTTTGCTCAGTAGCTATAATTGATGTGGAAAAATACTTGGCAAAATTTGAGGGACACACCTATTGTGGTTTATCCAGTTTTAATTATGTCAGAAATTGCATCATCCTGCTTGTTTACAGCTAAGATATATGAGTTGGTGGTACCAACGGGATCCAAACAGCTTTTACTCCATCCTTAGAGCATATTCTTTACTTATAACTATTAGTTATTTACTTAAAACTAATAGTTATAACTATTAGCCAATGTATTTTTTTTTTAGATCCTTTTTGTTGTTGTTGTTACATATAAACATTTATTTTTAAATGCCGAGCCTCTTCTACGGCCATGCTATCCTGAACAAACCCGATCCCGTCTTATCTCAGAAGCTAAGCAGGGTTGGGCCTGGTTAGTACTTGGATGGGAGACCACTTAGGAAGACCAGGTACTGTAGGCGTAAAAAAAATTTAAAAATAAGGGATTGTAAGCTGACAAGGTCCTTGGAATCTGTGAGGTCAACCAAGAGTTGCCTCGCCTAAAAAATAAAATAAAATAATAAATGCTGAGCCTTAAATCAGGCAATTTTGAGCATTCTAATTATATATGTCTACCATAGTCCACATCGTGGAATTATTATTTTCCATTAACTATTCACTTTGTGCAGTTAGAAAGAGAAAGGACAAAGAGATGGCCTAGAAAGACCAGCCAATCCATTTGCTATTTTCTCTAGTCTTTAGATTTACAATAAAGGCTCAGAGAAGTCCTACGGTACAATAAACACTGAATTTCCCAACTGATTTGCCCCTGGAATGTTTTTTAAAGCGTATCTTCTTTTTTATTATTAATTAATTTCTTTATGGTGACATTGGTTAACAAAATCCAGTAAGTTTCAGGTGTACATTTTAACAGTTCATCTTCTATAGTTAGATTTCTTTCTGTCACCACATATTTGACCCTTTTTACACCTTCTACCTCCACACTCCCCCTCCTCTCTACCCTCTGGTAACCACTAGTCTATTGTCCATGTCCATGAGTCTCTGTTTGTCCTGTTCATTTGTTTTTAGGTTTATATTCCACATATAAGTGATATCATGTGGTTTTCAACTTTTTGTCTGGCTTATTTTGCTTAGCATGATTATCTCGAGGTCCACCATGTTGTTTGGAAATGGCAGCATTTCATCTCTTCTTATGGCTGAGTAATATTCCATTGTATCTTATGGCTGAGTAATATTCCATTG